CCGCACCGCCGCCATAAGCACTGCTGCTGCTTTGCATACGAAATGACTATGATTCCCAAGACGATGTGGTCCCGCGTCCGGCGGCTTTCGAAGGAAAAGCGCATAGTCCGGGACAGGTAAATAATAGACTTAGCCCAAATTCGGAATACTGTGATCACAAGTCGATAAGCCCGCACAGATAGCCCCGCGGGTGTCTGACCTTTTCGTGGGAAACCGTTTGTTTGGCCGGCCGATAGTGAAACGCCATATACAATGTACATAATAGAAATAATAATAATAGTAATGTTTATAATATAATGTTATGCACGGAGTGAGCAGAACGACGGTCCCGTACTTGCCTGGCCGGCGGCCGTAATTTACCATATAAAGAGACAAACAAATTCCGTCGTTCCCGGTCTCCTACAAATAATTGTAAGAACCGTGCGCCAAGACCACCGGGATAGAATCCCAAAAAAATCAAAGGCAAATACATAAAACGAAGTACGGTCTAAGTACTTCCGACTTTGTGTCCCGGGCGAAAATACCGACGGGTTGCCAAATCGGTTAGGTTACATCGATCGTAGCGACACGATTGACTTGTTTCAAAAAATCACTATTGCAACTACTGTAAACAATTCTACCAATTTCTTCGATGCCGTCCGTCGTCAATGTCCCCTCGCCGCACAATGTTCGCTTTGATTGCCTATTGTAAACGTGTATTATTAAATACAAATATCGGTCTAGGTAGTCAAAATTTCATTGTGCGTCTTATTCTGGAACTATTGTATTTCTATAGAGGTACATTAAGAATTCGTTAACGGCCATACAATATTTTATCGTCGGAACCGCTTAAGGACTCGGGTAAAGGATAATAATAATGTATTATAATCGTTCCAAACGGGTTTCTCCTAGGTACGATTTAACCCCTCGCCAAAGTTATTATACTCGTTTCTTCTGACGGAACTTGTCGAATCAAAACCATTAGATCACAATACAGTGTTTTAATAACGGTTCGGTACAAAACAATAATATATTATGCTATTTGTCAGGTTCTTTGTGCACTTGCTGTCAACCCTACCGTCAAAGAGTCGTGTGTTTATAAGTAATTTATTTTGATTTTCATAATATCTGTTTCGCACAGGATTTTCTCGCCATGTCAGCTGTAAATTTTGTGTGCGAGCAATACACGTCAAATATATATTTATATATATATATATATATATATATATATATATATGTATAGTTCATTGGCTGTACCCTATATCCGATACCATGTATGTCCTATCGCTTTTGTCAATATTCTCTCTTGTCGTTGTGCGTACACCCCACAAATTTGGACTCTAGCGCATGTTATTACTTTCCCTCGTTAAAGTCCCCACACAATCGCCTAACCGTCACGTTTGTTGAGTATTGCAAATTTTACCCCGAATAATTGCATTTACATTTCCGTCCCGATTGGTTTCGACGTATATTTGCACACAAATGACTCGTCCTCCTCCCCTTGTGCGCGTAATGTTTTAGTATTAAAGCGCGGTAGCACCGCCGAGCTTTTTTTGCATTTGCAACAGCGTTCACCCCACGACAGATGACGACATCTATATAAAAAAGATACTGCATATAACGTTTGTATGGATGCTAGAAGTTTATATGGTCGGTATTAGGAGAAGTGTGGCCGCTGGATGAGAAGGGAAAAACGGTTCGGCAAAGACCAAACGAGCAATTTTTTTTTCTACAATCAAACGAGAGTATAATATACTTCTCCCCCTAAACAGTCATAATATAATAACAACGATTTCATAAATAGATAAAACAAATAAAACAGATACTCGGCATCGCAGTAGCCGTCGTCGGCAAGGCCAACGCGAAAATCTAAGTCGGATTGACTCCCATATAAGGTCGGTCTACATCCAGCTTTCTCATTGGCCGATTACTCAGAACTGCTCTCTCACGCATTGCACACAAACACACATTGGACGATTACAAGAAACTTGTCGCGACCTCGTAAAAAATCGTCCCAAAGGTCGAACGTCGGCAAAATTTCGAAGCTAGTTACATCGTTACTTGAGTCGCACACCGTCTGAATGTAACCCGAGTACACGAATAATAAACAAGTCGATATTTGCGTCGTACCTCTTGGCTAATGCAAATAATATCATTATTCATCATTGTGTTCACGGTTTATTTCGCTAATGGATTGTGTGAGCACGTGGCCGAGGAGAAGACTCTAGAAGCCAACAACGTACGGAGAAAGTCAGTCCCCTGCGTTGGTCGTATACTCCTGTAGGCTGTGTCCTATCTAGTGGCTGCCACCGTTGTTGTCGTTGTGATCGCCCGTTGTCGGATATAGTAGGTACAACCGGGCTTGGAGAATTTAGTTTCCATAAATGGCGTTTGCTTACGGTAAAACGGTTATGCCGACGATCGCACGACCATGTGTGTGTAAATTTTTATAAGCGTTGCTACACAAACTGCTATACACATACACACACACATACAAGCGCGTCATAACCTTGCCCGACTAAAGATATTTTTTTGTGCGCATACCACTGGCGTTATATTGTTATTAATGGTAAGGATATGTATAAAACATATGGTGCGCCCGGAAGACCGTTCATCCTTCAGTGTACCGATACTAGCCGCTCTTATGGTGGCCAAAAAAAATCATACAATATTTATTATCTAGAAATCGAATTTGACCATGTCACCAGGTGTGTGATGCGCCGTCTAATCTGTATTCATATGTTATGATCTTCTCTTGCATGTCGCAACGTTGAGATGCCGATTTTTGATTTTGTCCTAAACAGCGCTTAGATTTTGTTTAAATCAATCCTTGACTACAGCCGATTCTTTGATCAACCAGCATCTCGTAGGTCTTGATGAGATACCTAAAATCTAGAGTTTAGCTAACTTCAGTAACCTTTTATTATGTACCAGGTGTTATGTAAATTGTAAATGAAATTATGAGTAATACGAAGCACAAATCTTACATTGACTACCATGCAAAATAGATTACGGCTTCAGTGTCCAGTCATGGTGCAATGACTGGCTGACGCACGTGATTTTTTTTTTGTTGTAAGATATTTTCCTGACAGAAAACATTAATACCGAAACCATGGTCCACAATGCCGTATAAGGTAAAAAATGTATTCAACAATAATTGTACCCGGTCCATAACTGGTATTGTTTTTGCCACCATTTTGTGTTGTATCATGCGCCTTCGTGTACTTAAACCGCGTTGCTGCCTGCGTTATAATATTTATGGGTAATTTCTATTATCTTATTATTTAAAAAAGAATTCGCCTGAGGAATGTATACCGCTCCAGAGCCTATATAATATACAATGGCGGCGATGACGGCAACAAAATAATATTAATGACATAATATATACATGGACGGTCCACCGCCGCGACCATATATAGATCATACAGTCCAACGGTTTTCAAACGGAGTGCATAACGATTGAAATTATTATTATTGCTCGAAGGAGATTTAACGACCCATCTAATGTAATTTCACTCTTTGTCCCCATAATATGAAGCACATTGAGCCAGGAAAGCTTAACCTACAAATCCATTATATCAGGAAAAAACCAATTATATATTTTTAAATTTCATTATTTATTAAATGCCAATTCTAAAAAAAAAAACAATTTTTCCCATTTAGTGGATAGATTTTATTTTAAAGTTTGGGTGAGTTTGCTTTTGAAATATTATGTTATTCTAAAAAGTTTAATGTAACGAAACTTAACTTAAACTTTTGCGGGTCAAGCTATACTGGAACCATATTATAAGTGCCTTATTTATGAAAAAGTAAAACCAAGGAATGCTCACCCAATATTTAATATAATTTTGCTGTTCTAAGAAAGTTTTCCTACAGTTATAATATTATTAGTAATTATAGTACGAGAATGCGTTTAAGACTAACGCCGTGATAAGTACACAAAAAAAAAACAGCAAGTTCCGTCCATAGTACGCCTACCATGAATACATTAGGCTTATTTAGTTTTGTAATTTGTACAATTATTGAGAACCGGAAACATTTCAAATTCCATTTTTACTAGTCATTTTTTTTTCGTCAAATCGCCGTGTAGGCTTATACAAATATACAATTTTATCACTACTGATACGGTATTACAGTTTATGTACTATTATATTTCCCTTCCGTAATATTGTAGTCCATCTGTGTTGAGAAACCATTTACATTTGGTTGGTTCGGTCGGTTCTTTATCAAACAATAAAATTATATTGTCTGGCTTATACTTTTCTCTCGGCTTAAACGTTTCATGTCCCGCTCGTGTATTTTTTAAAACTCATTATACGGTGTGGCAATTGAGTGAACTGTGAAGAGAGATATAGATAGAAGAAGAGAGCAAGCCAATAAAATTACTTCGGGCCTCTTACAATGATTAGCAAAAATATGAAATTCTTTATAATTGTTGCTAATCGGCGTTGGCGACGACAGTGGTCTATTTGACATTATTATTATGACACCAGTCTAATTAAAATCGCCTTGTACCATAAACAAGGACAACACGCACTCGTATTTATTTCGACATGGTTTAGACTGTGCGGGAAGTAGAAATATATGATTGGAAAAACAATAAAATTTCGAAAACGGCAATATAGGTTTGCTGAGAAATGATAAGGGGTTAAGTAATATCTAAAAGTTTAAAAAACGTGTGTAAATAGAACCAGTATTTCAGAGATTAAGAAGGTATAAAAACATAATTTGCGGCATCCTCTCCCTGTCGCTCATATCCCATTGTAGCGCAATTGTGACTATGTACAATTATTGAGACTCCTAACCGATTTATCGAATGACACCACAACGATTCGTCTCGATGTGCAAAGTGTAAGTTTTCCAACGTGCACAAATCCAAAAATCTTGGTCTTTCAAGTCTATGGGGGTACAGACGGTTTGAGGGGAATCTCTAAAACGGTGCATGCATATTATGTCACATATTAGTGTGCTGGGCAGTGTACTTGACCACAATTCGAATTTTAATATTTTTGTTATTTCAGATATCGCCATGGATTGGTCGGACCACGCGCTTTGGTGGCCTACTCGCAATTCTTGGCTGACCAGAACTCGGTCGACGTTGGATCAATACGGAGTGCAGGCCGATGCTAAATTGCAATTTACCAGAATGCACAAGACCGCCCGAATCCAGTTGCCGGACCTCCGTTACATCGACATGCGAGTAGACTTCTCTATCAAGACTTTCAACGCTGTCATACAGTTGTGCAAAGAACTCAGTAAGTGTTCGGTACATTATAGTGACTAAGAATTGGCGCGTGGGCGCCGGATACGCTAACGGCCGTCGCATTTCTTATTATGTCCATAATAACAGTATGCCGGCATGATCATGATACGCGATTTCGAATATTATTTACCTGGTTTTTTATTATTCGTAGGTCAACGGAATTGGATAAAATACAGATTATAATGTGAAAAGTTCATGCAACTGAATCTCATTAACAGTTTCTACAATCAATAATATATTTATCGAGTACGAACATTGAAGTTCGGATCTTTTAAATCCTTTAAACGCGTTTTGAATAAATTATTAATAACAAAAAACCAAGTATCGCATTACTCCCACAGGAGAATAGTTTTTCAGTATTTACTAATAAGCGCAATAGGAACGTCAGGAGGATTAGCCAACCTATACAGATGTTTTTCTTGTTTTTTATTTTTATATTGACCACACATATTGACTGTAAATTATTTAAATGATGTGATTATAAATTCCTTTGGAAGCAATATTTTTCTCTAAATGAGATATTGGTCCTATAACCTGTTAAAGTGTCGATTACCAAATTTTGAAAGTTTTTAAATCTTATCCACAACAGTTTTTTGAATTTTAATAGCTTTAAATGTTGATTTTCGTTAGAAATAAATTCCACTCCTTTCTACTAGCTGCGTTGTGTATACCTATTATTTTTTTTATCCTTGGATGAGTTCATTATTAGAATACCTCAACTGAATGCAAAATACGTAACGTTTATGTTTTTTGTTGTTTAGACATCAGACATCCGGAAGAACTTTCGCTTTGTAAACCGTTGGAAGCTCAACACCTGAAGCACAACATGAAAGAAATGCATTACAATGGTTCTGGTGGTCAAACTCCGTCTGCCGACACCAATTCGTTTATTGTCAACAGTCACAGTCCTTCGGGTTCTACAGGCAGTCTGGACATGTCTTCTTCGCCGTTTATCTGCGCTCCATTGAAACACCATTCGACTCCAGTCAGTTCGCCTGTGTCGGTGAGTACATTTTATATAAGACCTTATATGAGTATAAGTATAGTTTTTATATATATAGGAGTCTAAAGAATCTTTGTAGTATTTTTTTTCCTTTATGTTTACTCTTGTTGTTTTGTTCTGTGCAGCAAAACGGCACATGGAAGAAAGGTTACAGCAAGACCGAGATGAACGGCAATGTGACTTCATTAGAGTTGTTAAACGGATCGCTAGACACGTCACTGGCAAACAGTCCGACACCGAACAATGATACACGGAACAAAGTTTTGCGACCCAAGTCATTGGTGGAGAAAGCCAGAATGAATGTAGCGTAAGTACATTAAAAAAACTGACAGCCGCATGCTTTTTTCCCAATATCTCAGAAAGAAGCCGTTAAAAAAAACCATTCTTGATGGGTTGGGACATAGTGGGAACAGAGTATTTGGGGGAAGGGAGCTCACAGAACTACAGAAATTTTTATAACTAAAAGCATTTTCAAATAAACGTTTCGATGCGAATTTGTATATGGTGGAAATACAAATATTGATAAATAAAAAGCATTATTCTATAAAATTGTATCTTTAGTATAGAGTGGATACTATAAGGGTTGATTGTCTGTCTATAATAATCAATTGATGTTATTACCCAATTATCGTAAACAGTATTATACTTTTTTTCATCACCCAAGGAAATTTTTATTGGAACTATTAATAATCTTTATAAATATATATATCAAAAGGAGTAAACCGATGTAGATTCGGAGTAATTATATACATACAAAACATCCATGGGTTTTACTTCCAGTGAAGTAGCCCCTTTGTTAATCTAATAAGACTAAGACAAATGTCTTCAGTCGTTTGAACCGTCTGATGTCTTGCAAGTTTTCAAGAAGTTATATGGAGTTGTAAAATGTATAGTAATAAAATACTGAAAATATTTTTCAGATACTTGTCGGCTAATGTTCAACTCACATATAGCAACCTATAAGTTCAGTGCGACCAAGGTGTAATAATCCCCCATTTTCTTAGTATTTCCTTAATAAAAAAAAGTTGGACTACACATTTTTTAGTAAATCGTATACGTTATAGCTCACTCTAGAACTACCTCCAGTTTAATTTTTAGAACTTAAATCCTGAAAGCTCGGTCGAAAAAAAGAAATAAAGGAAAAGTGTTCACCCCTTATTTTATTTTATTTTTTAACGTTTTTTGATAGTACGTTGTTTAAAGAATAATGCATATGAATGGAACTAATTCGATTATTTTAAAAAAATGTATAGCGTTAAAAAAAAATTTATTTGGGTGTTTTTCTCGATTTCGAAAGCGAAGAAGTGAACTTTTTTACATTTTTAGTCTAAAAAGTTACCTTTCAGTTACGATTTCTGATCTATAAAGTTGCTGTATAAAGAAATCGGTTTAGCGGTTAAAAATTTACCGTGGGTATAAGCACAAAAAATATAAGCATCACTTTAAAACACCATCTTAGATCCTCTATATCGAAGCTAAAATATGAATAAATAAGAAGTAATAAAATGGTAATACAATTATTCTTCTCTAAGATAAATAAAAAAAAACACATATTTGTAAAACCAATACCGTCGAGGCTAAAAATAAATCCTGAGAAATAAATTTGGCAAGTGCTTCAAGAATAAATAATTTTATTAAATATGTTTTTAAATTATAACTTTGGAAAGTTAAACCAAATAAAAATGTTTTATTTATTTACTAATAGGTGGTTGGATTCTTCATTGTCGATAATGGAACAAGGCATCAGGGAATACGATACGTTGAAGTTGCGATTCAAATTCTATTCGTTTTACGATTTGAATCCCAGATTAGATTTGGTGCGGATCAATCAGATATATGAACAAGCCAAATGGTCTTTGCTCAGCGGAGAAATAGATTGCACAGAAGAGGAAGCGCTCATGTTTGCTGCGTTACAGGTGAGAGCTTTGTTTCAACAAGCCATCATTTTAAGCTATTTAAAACTGTTTTTCGAGGAACGTACTAACTTAGTATAGCTCGAGAAGTTTATCTAATATAACTATACTATTAATTATACAATATTCAATCTGATTATTTTGTGCATGTTATGTAGTTACAAATCAATTTGAAAGCCGGCTTACCTCAACCTTTAATGGAACCCGTTGGCGGCGAGGACGATATAGACGCCGCGTTATCGGATCTACAGATTACCTTAGAAGGATTCCAACCACCCACGAGTATCAATAATTTGAACTATGCACCTGAACTGTCGGATTACTTGAGATTTTTAAAGTAAGTAAATCCCTAAAACCGGTTGAACACGCAACATGTAACACGACTTTTTGTCATGAAAAAATGTTTTGTCGTTTTTTTAAAATCGCAAGAAAAAATATCCCCGAAACTATTAATATATATTTTTTTTAATTGTATATAGTATGTTATAAATTGTATTAATATAGTCAGCTATACTACAGTAAAATATTTTTAAGTAGACCGAATCTATCATACGATATATGTGTATGTATTTAGCAATATATTTTTGGTCGGTCATTGGGAAAAATGAAAAAATACTTTATGTTTAAACTAGTCTAATTTGTTAGTTTTTAATCTCATTATTTACTATTGACGAAGTCTGATTAAAACTCAAATATATGTGACAACTAGATGGCTTGTTCGAAATTCACGTTGAAGTAGGGAAAACGTTCAACGTCTACTATCGAAAACTGGGCCTAAAACTAGTTATTTTGTCCAAACGCCACAGATTATTTATATCGACTTACAATTAGTTCTATACCTAGACATGTTTTTGATAGCGTATGCATAATTTTGTCGACTTGCATAAAAAATTAAGTATTTATAATCTTTCTTTCTTAACTTTACAATTTTTAAAATTAAAGAAATCATTTTTTCAACTTTGCATTCTCTCAGTTCTATATTATTTTTCTTACATAACTGCCAAAACTATACCTATTCACAATTTCCAATGCAAAATGTTTGTGTCCTCAAAAGTAACGCGTTTTATGTTCAACTCAGGTTAAATAAACGTAACTTAAATACGTAAAGGATATAAATATATAATTATTAATAATTATTGTTAATATTATTTCTTTTGTGCAGACCCAAGAAATTCACTCTTAGAGCTTTCAAACGGTATTGGTTTACATGCCGCGATCTTCATCTGAGGATGTACAAATCAGCTGAAGATGCTCGGATCGGCGCTCCACCAGTGCACAGTGTCAGCTTGAAGGGATGCGAAGTCACGCCTGACGTTAACATTTCCCAAAATAAGTTCGGCATCAAACTGGAAGTGCCAAGCTCAGACGGCATGACCGAAATGTGCATCAGATGCGAAAGCGTAAGTTAACATTAATCAAAAGTAATTAAATTAACTTAAATCCTATGGCTAAAACTGTTTATGGTCGCAGGAGGAACAATACGCCAAGTGGATGGCCGCTTGTAGGCTGGCGGCCAAAGGGCGTTCGCTGTCAGACAGCACTTACGAGTCTGAAGTTAAATCCATCAAAGCCTTCTTGGAGATGCAACATCCGTCAGTCATTCAGTCACCAGTTATCAGTCCGTCCTCTTTGGATATCAACACTGAAGACTATGTGCCCCACAGGTACAGCAGAAAGCTGAAGGGAAAAGTAAGTGTTGCCTTCGACGGTCTTACACTTTCTCAGCCGTATTTACAAAACCGTTTATGGATTTGCAGTTCGCCCAGCGAATTTTGGAAGCCCACTCCAACGTAAAGGACCTGACTCTGATGGAAGCCAAGATGAACTACATCAAGGCGTGGCAGTCGTTACCCGAGTATGGCATCTCGTTGTTTGTTGTTAAGTTCATGGGACATAAGAAGGAAGAGTTGCTGGGGATTGCATACAACCGACTCATGCGCATGGACATATCTACCGGTGATCATATAAAAACATGGAGGTACAACACCATGAAGGTACGTGAATATCATAAATGATTTTAGGCTAAAACGGTGGCCAATACTTGCGCGTCATCGGTCATTGTATCATTCAACAGATTCTTAAGGGGATTGCATGCGGTTGGTTTTTAAGGAGTTTTGTATAGGCAATATTTAAGGAAATGGTGGTTTTAATAAATTTCGATCGTGTCAATTAATTTGCAATTGTTATTTTGTATAAGCTTAATGGTATTATTTTTAATTTAAATTATTTTGTCTATGAGTAAAAACCATTTTAGTTAGTATAACATACATTTTTTGTTCCATCGCACAGGCTGAACCAGTGATCCGATAAGTAATCTGAAAACAGATTTGAATTCGTCATAAAGTTTACTTATGACCGGTTAGGGTACTTTTTTGATAACTTATTCCTACTATGTATAAAACACGTTTGAACATTATATAAAATTTCAAATTTTTAAATCAAATTTAGAGAGAGTAAAAATTGAAAAAAGTAATAGGTTAACTATACATAACCATAGGCGCAACTAGACATACATTAAGAGGGTGCTAAAATTATCTTTATCAGACTAAATATAGTTCTTATCTTCAAACCATTAGATAAAAAATAATATATTTGAAAACAAAAATATTCTAAAATACAAAATTTGCACAGAGTATGTACATTATTAAAATGTTATGTGTATAAATCAAGGACTGGGGTTTGAATTTTGGGGGTGCTAGTTTTGAGTCTGGGAGTGCTAAAGTCCTTCCTAGTTGTGCCCATGTACACAACCTCAAAGATTGGAGTTTTATTACTGCTGTAATGAATCATCAATGAAGGGTTGGAAATAATTCTGAAAAATCTCGAGGAGGCCCTAGCATAACCAGTTCTTTCTCTCACTACGTGCCCGTCCACAGTTTTTCACAATTTCGCTTCGATCCATTCCAGTTTAGCATTACAGATAGTAGGCCTTGGGTGTACAGAAAATCGATTCGGACGTGTTAAGTCAATGGTGCCAATTTTTAATATGTTTTAATATTTTCTCTCGCAGGCGTGGAATATCAACTGGGAAGTGAAACATATGATGGTGCAGTTCGAAGAGGGCAACATAATATTCGCGTGCCAGTCAGCCGACTGCAAAGTTATACACGAGTTCATAGGCGGTTACATATTCTTGTCGATGCGATCCAAAGAAGTGAACCAGACGCTCAACGAGGAGTTGTTCCACAAATTGACCGGCGGATGGTCGTAAGCCTGTCTTAGACACATTCTGTCTGTGCCCTCTCCCAAAATTGTGTAGCCGAGTAGCACTAAAGTGTCTTATATTAATATTTTTACGCCCACGAGCACCACCGTTGCGTTGGTTCCGTTACCGTTATTACAATGTTTGTGTCGTGTTTCACCTTAACCGTTTTTAACATTATTTAATATAATATATTATATAATATTAGCGTCTGTTTGTTGAATGTTTTTTTTTTGTTAAGTCTATAATCGTAAAGAGCGACGACAAACACGACCGTAAATAAAATACAACACATATGCGTGTTTGCCGGCGCTTTGTTTATTTATAAAAACATTTAATAATTTGCGTTTTTATAACGAAATTAAGTTTTTTTTTGTTATCGTTATTAGTGTATAATAATATTATAAAAGTATTAAAAATTCATAATATTCGTAAGTAGTTAACGTGTTTTAGTATTGTCCATTGATAAACTGCTAGTAGGTATTGTTATTATTATATTAGGTACCTGTTCGAGTTATTTGTATTATAATTATTTTAATACTTAATACTATTGTTAAGTATTAAGTCATTATGTTTGCGTAGATTCGGTAATCAATTGTTGCAGTAAGCGTAGAAATCAATCAAAACATTATTCCCATCGTCATCTACTTTTCTCTATTATTATTTATTGTTGTACAAAACGTAATGACAAAAATGTTTGACTCGGTGGGAGAGCGAATTTTTTTATGTTGTAATGAAAATTGCTTAATAACATTTTTTAACCATTGTGTTTGAACAAATAGTTTTAAAAGAAACAAAAAAATTGTAATAATAGTGTATTTAATTTTTTTTCGCTATCTATTAAATAATATTTTACATAAATCGCAACTAAAAATAATGTTTTATCAATTCACATTTCACACTAGTTTTAACGATCACTCAGTAGAATGATCACATTATAGAATATATGAATATATTATATGTATAATAGTAATAATAATACTATCAATTGTGGGCAATCATAAATTGTTACTGTAATGAAAATTATGTGTTGTCATAATATTATATTTTTTATTTAACGACAAAGGTTTAAGGACTGCACACAATTACTATTATATGAGTTATGTTGTCTTTTGCTTGTCTCTAGTTTTATTAATAACTATATATTTATAAATATGATAGTTAATGGATATAATTCATAGCATTAAAAACGGTGCTTCATACCAAAACCCTCTATATAACAATGTTATAACATATTATTATTATTGTAACTTAATAAAAAATTATTGTTGTTGTCCTAATTTGTTTTAATTTGTGAATTTTTTTTTGTGTATATAGGCTATATTATTATATTTTATAATATCATGTTGTAAACTTCTATTAAAAAAAAAAAAAAAACAAATAATATAAAATAATTAACTCATGTACAAGTGTATTGCGTTTTAGTGTTACATTTAATACACCCTCTGTGTTAAGCCTGACATTATGAAAATGCTTGGGTATTGTAATAGTTTGTTTTCTTCGAAATGTCAATAGCAAAAGCTTTCGACCACCAGCGGTCTTGGTTTCAAGAGCAGCGTTATATACATAATAAACTAATATTGTACATGATACCAATTACCATTACACCACAGCACGGCATAATTATTACACGATAGTGGCATTGAATTTTATCTTATTGTTTATAACTTTTCAATATTTGAGTTTTAGACAGTAAATGCATTGACATGTAATAATTTTTTTTTTTTATCTAAATCTTAATTATTTTAATAATATGTGTGATAAAAACACGATTCGACACGGGTCTGTGCATTCTGTTAAACATGTTACCATTTTTGGTCACCGGAAATAAACATTTATATCAGATTTATACCTACATGGTTTGTGGAAACTTGGGCTTTGGTGTATGACGATGATTAAACAGCGGTGAACCGGTGTTTGTCGTTTATTATTTATTCCTGTAAAAAAATGACACGTTAAACTTCTGCCTTTGCAAAAAAGAGTAGGTCGTACGACATGAGTTATTCATTCATTACTTATCTAAACAAAAACCGACAGTCGACGAACAAAAGCTAACAAACTACTGCAGTATTGTGCAAAACCAGCTAAAATCACAATTCACAGGTTTTTTTAAAATTAATTAATCAGTTGTTAGGTTTTTTAGGTGGTATTTTAATGTGCTAGTCTATTGTGATTTCTTTAAAAATAATAATTTTCAAATCGTTAACAAGCTAGTAAATCAATTACCGCTGTCAGGGAATGTATTTTTCAACGCTCGGTAAGTTCCGTTTTTATTTTTTAAAGAGTAAATGAGTACACTAGTTAAACCTAAACCGGCTGTACGCTTTTATCTATATTTTAAATTCGACTACAATACTATCAAAACTTAATTACACAATTTCAATCTAAAAAAAATCATATTTTCAAAATAAAAAATACATATTATTCATATATACGTCTTTTTTATAATTTATTTATTTAGAAAATAATTTTTTAATTGGCACAGAGTATAGTTTAAATTTTAGAATAACACTTGAAGCTAAAAAAACACACTTGAGAAGTGCTACTACATGTATTTAAGCTTACTTATTATTATTTTACTTATTTGTGTTTTATTTAATTATTTTGAGAGAATAATAATTAAATTTGTATGCATTTTTTTCTTGGGCACTAATAGTCTATGAACTATTTATTTTATTTTCGTTAGTCATCTGTGTTATGCGTCATTTTCCAGATGTGTAAATATATATATAAACTTATATATAAGTTCGTCGTTCGGATGATCGTATTTGTGCCTAATGTAAATATGACTTAGATAATCATAATTTCATAAAGAACGTACAGCGTACTCATTGATTAAATTAGTAGAATATCTATTATAGGCTAGGATTTATATAGCGAAATAAGAAAAATATTTAGTGTGTGTTTTTATTCAAATATGTAAAAAAGTCCAAATATGTAGTATAAAAGACAGTATACACGTCGAAAATAATAAATGTTAACATTTACACCGAACAACGCACAAAATGAAAGTTTTCTATCATGTTTTGCATGTTTATTTGATATTTTCCAAAGCATTAAATTTACAGGCCACAGCCATACACTTATAGATATAATTTGAGTATGCGCAAAAAAATAAATTCTTAATTATTTATAAAACAGCCGAAAGAAAAATGAAATGAAACATTTAGTTTCAACGAATTTCAATGTGTGAGTTAAAAAAAAAAATAGTGCTAAAGAAAAATCTATAGTTGTTAGTTGTTCTGGAGTAGTATCAGATGTAAGTCAGATAATAAACATCTTAAAAGTTGTGAGGATGATAAAATATTAGAAATTATCAATGAAGCTGACTATGGTCATGAACGAGAAACGAAAACTTTCAACTATAGTTTCTTGACAATAAAGTTTCACACGTAAAAAATATAGGTAACGAAAACCATTTTAGAAATTTTAGATATTTTGAATATTCAATACGCAACTACCCAGAAAAGATAACAGATAAACTTGGTGTGTATATTTATTAAAAATTGGACTTGTACAAATTTAATATTAAAATTTTTCTAAATACGTTGAGAAAGCAAATAGGTGTATTTTTTTCATTATTGTAAGAGAAAAATAATTTCGAACTAGTAAACAAATGGCTGATTTCTTTAAAAACTAAATATAAAATATTTTGTTTTTCTTTTAACAATTGTGGATTTAATGAATAGATTTATTTGAATAGTAGGTTAAAAACACGCGTAAAAAATTGTCTAACCATTTTTTAGCTGTTGCTCAGGATGGTCCGGTTCAATTCTGTAAAGAGATATGAGTTCTTTCACTACTTTACTAGATTATGGAGGAAACGAATTTTTAATTTTTGTTGTACGTAAAATAATTATTTTTTGATACTGAAAATTGTTCAAACTTGTTATATTTATTTCAAAAAAGTAAATTTTTTAAATGAAAATCGGTTCTCTACACAACCTTGAAAAATTATCCAAACAACTATAATTTGTTTATACAATTCAAGCCGAGTCTGCAACCACGAAAGAGCATTTTCATGTCTCGTTGAAATACCGAATAAATTTTAATTAGTTGTGGAATTATAATTAAAAAAAAAAAAATTACATTGAGCTTCCAGTTACAGCATAAGCCAAGGAGATTAAAAAATTATGTACAATCATGTTTCTGGCTAAAATTGTAGTGTTTATTATCTGGCTTAAGACAATTCATAGAGAAATTGGGCCCTTAAACTGTTTTGAATTTTTTTTTTAGTTCTAATTTGAACGTTGAACGTATAACATATCTCTTATCTCATATCAGATAACATCGTAACGCTTTTTTGGTAACACTTTTTTTCGGTTATGTACCGGCTAATTCTCACCCCTATCTCCCACCCCTATCACTTACCCCCTATCACTCACCCCTAGCACTCACCACTATCTCATATCTCATATCAGATAACAGCGTAACACTTTTTCCGTTACGCTTTTTTGGTAACACTTTTTTTCGGTTATGCACCGGCTAATTCTCACCCCCAACCCCATTCCTATTCCCACCCCCAACCTCATCATCAACCCCATTTCTTTTTTCGTTACGCCTTTTTGACATTTTCATGTCTTAGCTCTGGCACATAACTGAAAAAAGCGTTACCATAAAAGCGTTACCAAAAGAGCGTTACCAAAAGCGAAAGGGTTGGGGACGGGAGTGGAATAGGGGGTAGGAGATTTAGCCGGTAAATAACCGAAAAAAAGTGTTACCAAAAAAGCGTTACGCTGTTACGCGCCGCAATGTAACAAAAACTACGAAGCGACGACGAAAGACAATTATCGGAATGACCATTTCGGATCTATTTCGAATGTTAATCTGTTACGCTGTTATCTGATCTGAGAAAAGAGATATGTTGTACGTTCAACGTTCAAATTAGAACTAAAAAAAAAATTCAAAACAGTTTAAGGGCCCAATTTCTCTATGAATTGTTTTAAGCCAGATAATAAACACTACAATTTACTATATATTTATATTATACTATATTATTATCTATAATTCCACAACTAATCTATATTTATTCGGTACTTCAACGAGACATGAAAATGCTCTTTCGTGGTTGCAGACTCGGCTGAAAAACTTTTTTGTTACGCCTTTTTCGTTAAGCTCTTTTGGTAACGCTTTTTTCGGATATTTGCCAGGGTTATGTGCCAGAGCTAAGACATGAAAATGTCAAAAAATTATGCACAATCAAGTTTCTGGCTAAAATTGTAGTGTTTATTATCTGGCCAAAAGTAACTTAACATAGAGAATTAAACTATTTTGAATTTATTATTTAGTTCTAATTTGAACGTTGAACGTACAACATATCTCTTATCTACTATATCTTACCCCTCTCCCCTAACCACTATCTCCTGTCCCTATCACTCACCCCTATCTCCCACCCTATCCCTACTCCTTAATCTCTCCCCTATATCCCTACTCCTTAATCTCTCCCCCTATATCCCTCCCTATCACTCACCCCTATCTCTCACCCTTATCTCACATCCCTATCTTCTACCCCTATCACCTGTATCTCCTATTCGGTACTTCAACGAGACATGAAAATGTTCTTTCGTAGTTGCAGACTCGGCTGAAAAACCTTTTTTTTTTCTTATATATTGCCTATATAAAACTCCTTAAAAGTCCGTGAGTTGCAATCCCCTTAAAAAAAAAAAAAATTTTCTATAATACTATTGATAAAGATTATAAAACTAAAGTCGGAAATGAAACTAGTTGGGAAAATATTTTTTAACGTCAATTATTGTGCATTTTTAGCACAATCATGAAAATATGGTATATATTTTTAATATACCATATTTTCATGATCTGCTCGTTGGGATACATTAAAAAAACATGTAACTAAACCATTTTTAGAAACTATATGGGAATGATTAATTAGAAAGTGTAAAATACTAGTAATTAAGTACACGAGTTATGTGCAGCATTAAAAATACTTAGCAGAAACACACAAAAAAAGATTAAGGCTGCAATTTTACACAAAATGAAGACAAATTAGAATAATTTTTTGTCAGTTTAATAATTTGTTATGATTTTATAAAATTATGGTAATCACAACTGCACAAAGTTCTCAAGTGAATATTAATGAGTAATTTTATATTAACATGAATTATTAAATTATTTTAATAAGATTAAAAACACTGGAATTATTTCATATACTATAACTGTACTAAAGTGTGCAAATGACTTGGATCTTGCATCGACATTTAAGGAAAAGCGAACTAGCAGAAAAAAAAACAGTTTAATTATGAAAGTTCAAAATTGTAATTTCACAAAAATAATATGACGGTGTGGTGTAAAAAGTTCAATATGTACTCAGAAGATATATGATAGGAAGGGAGGACAGTGATAAAGGGCAATCGATAATCCCTGTACTGATAAGAGATTATTGGCAAGCGAATCAGGTGCTATGATCAATAAGATATAATTACATAAGATAAATTCGAGATTTAATGCTTTTTCTACAATGGGAAAAAATGTATTTTATGCAAACAGAAATTACATAGATAAATTAATTATTTAATATTATATGGTGCACTTCATATTCAAGTAGATGTATTACTCTTATTCAATTTAAAAAAAAAAGTTTGTTACTATGTTGTAAAATAACTTAATACATGTATATATCAAATACAGAGTGATTTTTGTTATCATGGGCCACTCAATATCTCATAGGGTTTAACAGGAAATTTAATTTTTTTTCTTGTTGTTTTTATACAATATACCTTCCAACTTAGTTTTTTTGATAGCAACTTTTGAAACTTAAATGGTAACGCATATAATTCATTAAATTTTTAAATTAGAATAATGTACTAAACATTTTGACTGGTTGATAACCACTTTTGATAACTATTTTTAAAGTTATAAGAGTTTATTTAAAATATATATTTTAATAATATATCTATATATATATTACATTACATTATCAATTTAAAAATATAATAAACTAAATACGTTATTATTCATAATTCAAATGTTGCTGTCAAAAAAAGTTGTGAACAATTTAGATAAAACTTATATGAAAAAAAAAACATTTTAATTGATTAGTATCCCTATGAAATGTTGAGTGGCCAATGATAAAAAAAACACCTTGTATTTTGTACAACTATTTAGTTATCAAGATAAAAACCGCAATTGAACTACTCACTAACTTACATAAGGAAATATTATTTGCAGTCGAAACTTAGTACTTAACTATTAGGTATTTTTTGAAGTAATGGTTAGCAAACAATATATAATTTATATAATTTTCTACTTCCTACTCTTTTATTAAAAAATTAAAAACAATAATATTAAAAAATGTATAAAACTGTAATTTAACTTATAAAACTATGAAGTGAAATGGCTCTGAAGCTGCGTCCAGCCATAGATTAAATATACATATATGTATATATATATAGTATATTATTAAATCTATGGTCTAGCGTTTCTGGGCAGTGACAAGTATGGCTGGCATTTGTATATTCTGCAACACCTAGACTGGCAAAACTAAACACCGATCGTCACGCAACTATGGTAAATTGTATAAATTAATAAAATTTGTTTGTATTCCACCTACAACATATACCTATTAGTTTTTTGCTGTCAATAAATGTGATGTTGCCGTTGTCGCCTCAACGCGGTAAGTCGCAAAATATCATTGAAATACCATCACCACGCACGCAAATATAGCAGTCTGGGATGTGTTTTTCGATTGCCCATTTACCGTACACTGTATATGACACAATAATACATGTATAACAACAAGTAGCTGTACTGTGCATGTTATTATTGTAATTGATGAGAACACCTGTAACTTTGGCATTTGACAAAAAAAAAAAATACTGCAAGCTATGGTTTACCAGCTGCTGTGAAGTTGAGCGTTTAGCTCTTATTTTTTATATTATAAAATAATATAACTATGATATAGTTGGCGGTTAACCGTAAAAAGTTTTTACGCTTGATTAAACAGTGACATATCGTATGGATTTGTTAAGACTGTGCTGACAAAATCTATCAATACCTATATAGACTCAGTAGCTTGAACCATTTTATCTGCGTTATTATGTTTTTATCGAAGAAAAATAAAAAAAAACTAGCTACACGACACCGTTTATAAGTTATAACATTAAAAGCTCGATATGGCCGCCTATCGTGGTTTATATCTTTCCCTACAATAATCATTAGTCATATACTTACATCGAAACTAATTTTTTTATACTTTTTGGCACAACATTTTTTGAAGACCAGCGACCGCCTAAGTAACGCTCTATCCTTACTTTTTTCATGTATTACACGACAAACATTTTAACCTTAATTGTTGTCAGTTGTTTGACATAGTTAAAGCCAGCCAGTGGAATTAACGTATAGAAATCCTGGTCGGCAAAAACCGTGTGATAGGCTGGATTATAGCAATGATTATACATATATTATACATAGCTTGGTATGATATGTACTTAGTAAAGTTGATTAAGAGATCTATTCCTCTTTTACTACTAGAGTTCCTAATAGGGACAATAGCATAAGAGTGCTAATTGCGGGTTCAGTATGCAATCCGAATTCCGAAACCCCGACCATTGTAACCCAACGCGTCCCACAAAAGAGAGTAATACATTGTATGACATCATTTAAAACGTCCATGCATTTATACTACCTGTGTATATAATATGTAAATAAAAAAGTTGTATTGTTTAACATAACAGCACATTGTTCGTTTGTTTAAAATAAGAAGCTAACCCCGACAGCATAACCGGAGGGCCGCTACAAGTTATATAATACTTATGTTTGAACTTGTGACTACTTCACATGCGTGATGTGTTACAAAAAAAATATGTATATTTTTCAAATATAGTAGAATGGCTTAAACATTTCGACGATGTTCTAAAAATATGACTTGCATACTAGTATGGGTTCTATGTAATCAGACCAGTACTTATCCAAATTTTGGAAGTTGCGCCAGCTCATAATAGTTGTTAAATATATTTATGCCAAAATTGATAAACACACGCACTTATCATTTTATATTTTAAACAAAACATTTATCAATTTGTATATCGTTCAGAAGTTCTTTTTTTTTGTATTTTATTAGCTACAAGAAGAAAGTAGTTCTCTCTAAGTCGATAAACATTTATGTTTTCTTAGGTATTACATTTTTACCGTTTGAGCATTTGTGTTTATATCATGGAAAGATTTTGACAGCAAAATACGTCATAAGTTTTTAAATTGAAACGTTAGCAACACACCAAACGTATTCACGTATTATAACATAGAAGTCGGACGTGACGATATTCAATTGGCCGTAGGTACCTATCATTCCCTACTTCCTACATTCATACTTTTTAGACACTTTTATTATCTTAAAACAAGTTAGTTTGTTTGGACTTCACCAAGTCAGACGCTGTACCTATATAGTATATTTTATTGCCGATGTTATCTCAATAAAGGTCGGTTTACAAAAATTACATTAATTTTATTATGAAAAATTATTTTCGACAGTTTATTAAATGGCTGAATGACAGAAAAGTGACAAATTATTTAATAACAATCATTAATTAATAAACGCTTCTGAATCTGCCGCCAAAGGACGCCATGCGCTTAAACCCGCCGGTTAAGCCGTTGGCTACCGCGGAGGCCCGGCCGGTGATGCCGCCGGTGATTGCGGACGCGGCGCCGTTTTTGCGCGTGTTCAACATGCCCGCCATAGTTTGTACGAACGCCGGGAAGTCTTTCTCGAAGTTTTGCCTGCCGAGCATCGACTCCATATGGTCCAGAACAACGTCCGTCACGGCCCCGATGTTCCTCATGGACATGATGTCCACAAGTCCTTTGCCGAACTCAACTACCATCTTGTGGAATTCTGGATTGGTGGCCAACGTCTGGACGATAGCCAGCGCGTTGAGGATGGTCCGGTTGGCGTTCGGGTTAGTCAGTATAGTAGTGGCGAGGTCAAGCGTGTCAACGATGGCGTTGTGGGCCAACGCGTCGTTGGCTACGTGTTCTAAGTTTTCTCGGACCACGTTGATCGTCTGTCTGCCCACTGGGTCCAACATGATGGCCGATAGGTTTTCGCTCAAACCGTACAGCACGTCATACACTTTGCCGTCTTCATTCTTGTCAACAAACGTTTCGGTCTATAAACAGAGTAAAAAAAAACATATTTTGTCTTAGTACATTATTTGACTGCCTACAATGGCGAGTTTAGCATTTTGTTGCTCAAGGTAAATGTATATATTTTGAGTTTGAAAACATAAATCGGTTAGTTCGCCATTTACTAGTTATCAGTAATAATAACGATTATTTAGAGTGTGGAAAACATGGAAATAAAAATGCTTAGAACAAAAACAATTATTACTAAATCAAAAGAACAAAAGTTTTTTTTCCACATAAAAATCGGAATTTTATATCCGTTAAAAAAACGTTTATTTTTTTAACGTACATTAATTTTGTATTTCATACATAACACTTGTTATACATATATATGTTTTTATTTTGTATCAAATTATTTAAAATATTGAATTTTATATTTTACTGAATCATTTTATTCGTAATTAGGTTTTGGTCTAATTTGTCTGTGTTGGCCTGTATTTATAAATATGTTAACATCAAATATTAAGCCAAATATTGAGAAACAGAGCTATGTTTTATGTTTTAGTTAAAAAAATTAATGAAAAATGATGTTAATGGACGCTGTGATGATCAAGAGTGGATTGGGGTAAAGTATCGACCCAGGCGATTATATAATATCATCCACTAGTTACATAAAGAGCCAATTAAATTAGAAATAATAGATTTGACAAGCTTACCAGACCTATAACATCAGAGGCTCTGAGGGTGATTGCCCTCACGCAATCGGACTCAATCCGAAAAAATAACAACTTACGTTTACGAGTTCTGATCATTGTAATGTAAAACAATTGTCTAGACCTAACCCTTTAGTAAATATACAGCATAACATCCTCCACACAAAATAATATCCTAATTATTGATAAAAAAAAACAGTACTATGACACCCGGCCGCATCCCACTCGTGTTATCCGTCTATTAATTTAAAGCATAAAGAAATACTTGAAGAGTGAATTTGTCAAACGGTCCAAGTGCCAAAGAATAAAAATTGAACTTTATAATTTGATTTGTATTTCATTAATTACCGGAAACACTTGAACATATTTCAAGTTTTAAGTATGATTGTTTTTTTTATAAATAACTATTCCTTACTTGAAAAATTCAAAAAATTGTTTCCGGTAATGAATAAAATACAAATCAAATTATAAAGTTCAATTTTTAAACTTTGGTACTTAGAACGTTTGACAAATTTACTCTTCATTTATGTTCTTATCACTTGCACAGTTCTGTACTAATTTAAAGTAATTTGAAAATAAAAAATTGTTTTGAGGGTGATGTGACACAGTGTGATTACCTCAGTTTACACTTGTTCCTCTTGTGTCCCCTCTATTTTGTACACTGTTTTCTTTGTACCGAAAGTAAAAATATTATTTGTTAGAATTTGGTTCCTTAATTTACATATCAGCAACGTATTCTATAATCTATGTTATGTAGAATAATGGCCAAAGTCAAAAAGTTTAAAGTAAATTTTCTAACGGGACCTTTTCGTATATTTTATTCTCTGCCAATTTCTAAACTAGGTACCGGGGTCATAATAAGATTTTTTAATTTATCGCTATGTACATAGGACTTCAGATCAACGGCCTTAACTACCAAGTGTCGAAAATAATATCCTAGTTAGATTAGATTAGGTAGATTGGAATTGCACTAAATAAGTAGTTAGCTCATAAAGGTACAGAATACTCACGGGCGCGTCGGCAATACATAAATTAACGGTCAAGATGGCGAACACGGCCGTAGCGATTACTGTGTGGCTATACATCGTTATAATTGAACTGCTCTGAACATATATTATAAGGCGTGAAGCAAAGAAAAACGGTTTTCTTAGATTTGTAAACTTGCAAGTAGTTGATTTAGTATTTATACTGTTAAACGGAAACTGTGTGAATATAATTACACAAAGTTGGCAATTTTAAAGTCAAAAACCAATTGCGTTTTACCGGCATGTTAGATAAAAGAGTTTTTATGTTAAAAAAAAAGCTTTTACGTTGAAAAACACAAAAGAACAATAGCGATTATAATAATAGTTTGGTGGAAAAACTTGTTGATATCATACCAATGGATATTTCCATACGCTTTTGTTTTTATTATTACTTTTATCATTATTATTATTAATATAATAGTTATTATTTTTTTGGCTCTACTACATCGAATTTTGTAGCTCGTGACATCTGTTTAACGTAAACCACTAATTTATGGACGAACAATAACCATCAATTATGGTTTGGGCAATTACCTATCTAATGTTTATTTATTTCATACAAAACGCGTCAAATAGAACAACTGTGTATATACGAGAGCTCGGAACGCCAAATATAGTGAAATACTGAATTGTCGGATGTGTACATTATTACTTAAATGCTACAAATGTATTTATTGAAATACATATATTCAAAAAACCAAAACAACCAATAAATGCCTAAAAAAATGGTTTATAATTCATTGCGGTGCTCGTATATATAATTTTATTGTGGACGAAAAATTGAAAAATATCAACACTGTTTACAGGGACATTTCTAATTATGGTTGTCCCGAGCTTTTCGTTTGTAATCGTAATTACATGAGAATGATATCCTATTTGCCAAATTCAAACGATGTCTGGACACCTCTCCCCGCCCATCGTCGTGTGCACATTGATAAGTTCACTGCATATGTGTGTGTGTGAATATAACTAATATTATAATTTATAGGTACTACATCAATATTTGTGTATATCTTGCGTATATTTTAAGGCCATGCGAATCGATTCGAATACAGAGGTAGGGCGTTATACACAGGTGGTTTTGCCTGTACAATAACACACTTGTACAATGACAACAGCCAAACCGATAGGTGTAGATATATATATATTAAACAATCGCTTTACGCGCAAGAGATCACGCGATTTTTTACCGCGCGTATATAAGGTGAATATGCAGATCGGGAACTGCATTAAGATTATTATAATAACCGTGTGTGATTAGTGTGCCTAATATATTGTTTTGATAGATAAATTATTTTTTCAGCCATGTCGTTTTCGTACCGCACACATCGCCGGAATGCTGGTGGTCGATTAGCCACCACAGCCGTCATATTGCTGTCCGTCGTTTTCAACAATCAGGTTTGTTTATGCACATCCATAGAAATTACAATATTAGTTATACACCACTTAACTAGTTGTATCGAGAACCCGTACTTCGAGAATAGGTCGTGTAAATAATACCCAATCGAGCACAGATTCCATGTTAAATTTAAAGTCCATGTTTTACCACGGCATACACTTAGTAGGTACACTGAATTGAGGCTTCTCCGAAAACAAAAAATGTACAGGAATGATTAAACCTAACGGACGTCTTGATACCATTACAATAAACAAATAGTAACATATAAATTGTATAGTATATAATATTATGTTACGTCTGTCTTTTGCTGTACTAAAGGCATTCATTTATGATTTTCGATCAAAAACATTGATTACCTACCCATTTCGTAACTCGCCTAGCCAACTCTACTTTTCTTCTTCAATGGTCATTTACGTTTTCTTCATTTTTAATTTAAATTACTTGCTATTTCAATTGGATACAATTTCAATATCTAATTATGACACTACAATGTGTTTATTATATTATAAAGTGCTGACATTTTATTTTCGGAACTATGGTTTTTAAATAGAATTTTTGTTAATCTGTAGTCAAATTAATATTAACTTAAAAAATGGAATTAATTAAATTTTTCAAATATCAATTTGTCATTGTGATGCAGAAAAGGTTTAAAAATATAATATTTTATCTTGTAACGTAGGTACTTTAGGAAAATTACCTCTATGTCTGTAAATATCCTGACTTGTAATAAATTATTACAATGCATCCTTATTTAGATTTAGATTTTAGACAATTTACTGTTGCTGGATTAAAGGCCAAAAGAGCGAAAGTAAAACTTTTCAAATTTACGTGATTACGGACTTGGACAACGATAGCTAATAGTACATACGTCGTACATATTTGTAGTACAACTTATGATAGAAAAATAATGAAATAAAATATGAAAAAAAAACTGAAAGTGATACAATAAATTTATTTATTAACAAGCACTGTTAATAAATAAATGTATTGTATTATTTTTGTTAGCACAACAACCCTGCTTTGTACAAAAAACAAACGTTCAGGTCCAAGCGTCGGAGTTATAAAAGAAGCCGTCATATTATCCAATAAAGGCTAAAAAAATTATATAAATTCACAAATATAATTATATATAAGATTTAAATGTTCGTAAGGCTCAAAAATAGATTAAAAAATGCATTAGAATTTTTATTTTTATATTTATGGGTCCTACCAACATTTAAAACTTAAAAAGTAACGTATTTCATTAACTTTTTAAATAAAGTATACTATCGAATACTTAGAAAGATCGATTAGAAAGTTTTATAATATTGTAAAAAAAAACTAAACAAATTTTAATGAAAACTACAAAACTACTATTATTTTTGAAAAAGTGTACATCTCTTATTAATTTGATTCCCTTAGTAAATGACAAAAAAGTAGATACCAAAATAAGTAAATGCCAGCAGGTAACGCTTTTAAGTTTTATAAAAAGTATTGTGCGTGGAATATTGTTTTTTTAGAGGGAGTCCATAGTAAATCAAAAGCGACTAAGAATTTGAAAAAAAATTGTATAAGGATATACCTACAAAATTTTAAGTTTTGTAGTTAGTTTTAAACTAAGCCTAAAATGAGAAAAAAAGTTTATCGCCTTTCTGGGGAATAGGGGTAATATATTTTATGTCTTTTCACTGTATATCTTTTTCACTTTTTACTCCATATCGAAAGAATATCCCACACAAGTTTGGAAGTAAATTGACTACCTACTAGCATGCAGTGACTTTGAGATGTAAAACATTATATATTTTTAGTGCTTCTCTCGATTTTGAAGGGAAAGAGCTAAATTTTTTTTTCTGCATTATAGATACCTTTTCGATATGAAAAGGCCACAACTAAACCTTGGACGTCTCCAAACAATTTTTCAAAATACGATACTTTTTCATCTGAGATCTTAAATAGCCTTTAAATACACGGGCTTAAAGTTTTCTAATAATTAATAATGACTGTTTAATGTATATTAATTCCAAGTCTCGTACGTACGTATTAACATCATGCTATTTTATTAACAGTTTTACGTGATGGGAGATGGTAACGATCAGCCATTACAGCAACAATTGGGTTACAATCAGTTGCAACCTAACCAAATGGGTTATAATCCGTCCTTACAACTACCACAACAACCGTTACAACAACTGCAACAACAACCGCAACAACAACCGCAACAACAACCGCAAACGTCACCGACCATGAATAACAACAACAGACCGTTACAACAACTGCAACAACAACCGCAACAACAACCACAACTACAACCGCAACTACAACAGCAACTACAACCGCAACAACAACTGCAACAACAACCGCAAACGTCACCGACCATGAATAACAACAACAGACCGTTACAACAACTGCAACAACAACCACAACTACAACCGCAACAACAACTGCAACTACAACCGCAACAGCAACCACAACTACAATCGCAACTACAACAGCAACAACAACCGCAACAACAACCGCAACAACAACTGCAACAACAACCGCAACTACAACCGACCATGAATAACAACAACAGACCGTTACAACAAATGCCTGTGGATACAAATATGCCGTCGACCAACAACCCCAGTTTTCCACAATTACCCAATAGTTCTTTACTAAGTGGCAATCAACAACAGCTCCAACCAAACGGTAATGAGTATAATATAGACGTGCAACAACCGCAGCAGCGACCTTTGAATACGAATCAGCTCACATCTACTAATCAACAACAACAACCATTGCCCAACTCTAACCCACAGTTTTATCCAAATCTACAACTACCAAACGGAAATAATAACACACCATTATTGACAATGGCCAGTCAACCACAACAAACATTAGCCAATTCTAACCAGCCGCTCATTCCGAACCAACAACCGAACAACCAACAACTATTATCGAAGATGCCTGGTCAACAACAACAACCATTGCCCAACTCTATTCAGCAGTTTTTGCCTAGCAACCAACAGCAATTACCAAACAGATATGATCAGTTTTCATTACCGAACATTGGCAGCCAACAACAACCAAACGGAAATATAAATAATCCACCATTGCCGACAATAGGCAGTCAACAGCAACAACAATCTTTGCCGTTATCGGATTTCACGTCAGGAACGCAACAATGGCCACAACAGCCACAGGCAGGATTCAATGTTAATTCGTCTAAATTGGCCAATGGCTTAGGCGATAAAATGCAAAATGTAATGCAGCAACAACCAATGCCACAGAAATTCCAAAATCAGTTTGACCAGGAGAATAGGCAACCGCAGTACAATCAGCAACAGCTACAACAACCGTCGCCACCACTGAAGTACCAGAATAGCTATCTGAATGGCATCAATCCGTTCAGTCAGATGGGCACCGACCAGTCACAAGATGCATATGCTGACGAACAGCAGCAACCAGGTAATTTATACAGTCCCTTTAATAATAATAATAATATTAACAATAAACCTCAAGGGGCCAAAAATTATTTTCAACAAATGTGTCCTAAACGCGCAGGAAGATTGAATGGCGGCAATGACAATACGGACAACTCAGGTCTAACGGATTTCGTGAAAATGCCAATGAACATGGTGCAACAGAACGGCGAGCAATTAATGAAAATACCGTTGAGCGTGGGCCAAAATTTGGGTAGTGCTTTCTTGAATGGAGCGCGGGGTTTGTTGGGCGTCAAGAGCAACATTATAAACACGTTGTTCAAACCGTTCGCCATGGTGCCGCAAATCAGTAACTCTGTCACCCAAATGGAACAAAGTGCGTTGGACAAGTTAGAAAACACAATTTCGCCGAGCCCACAGCCATCACTGAACTCGCAGCCGTCTATATCTTCCAACATGCCGGGCAACAGCTACTATCAGCATAGCAATTCCGGCCAATACGCTGATCCAAACAAGTTGAAATACTCCCAACAAAACATGGCACAGCAGCAGTACGCGCAAAAAATGCCCGGAGTCCAATATAAGCCACAACAAATGTCCGGGAGCCCATTATATCAGCAACAAATGCCCACAAATCAGTATTACCAACAGCAATCCCCTAATCAGCCTTCATATCCTCAACAAGATAATAAGTCGTCGACACAATTCAGAAACGGCAATCCCATCAACGCTCCCCAGAGCAGAAAGTTTTACACATACTACTAGTTATTTGCCCGTGTATACCATTATTATTAGATAGTTAATCCACGTTTTATGTTTTATTAGTGGACCTTAATAATAGCGTAGATATTTTTTATTGCAATTTACTTAGTGAATTTGTTTGTTTTAAAAGCAAAATTGAATATATTGTACTATGTAACTGATTAAAAATATTATATTATTTTTTATGAGTAGAAATATTTTTGAGACATTACAGTCATTCCCTGATTTTGATTTGAACCTCTTTTTAAATTAATGTTTTTGTTTATTATTTTGAAAATGTTATACTTGTTAGTTTTCTTATTTCTGCTATGATCTTTTGAACTAAAATTTAGATGGATGCAGATAACCTTTTAAATAAAAAAAAAACTACTGTTACAAGAACTTAAAAGTAACTGGAAAATACAACCTTAGTATTAGAACCGCAGTGACCGTTTTCTTATTATTTATCATGATCTCTAGCTCGTTGAGAGAGTATGTTCGCTCGGTCATTAGAAATATCACGATCACAGTCAAGTAAGGATATTATGTAGAATACAAACAGATTAACAAGTCTTATACATAGTAATCTTTAAGCATAAAAATATTTATAATTTTTTAATAATGAAATTATTGATCTGAAATTTTGTTACAAATTTAAGTAATATACCCCTTTTAATTACTCTGATAAAAAAATTGCTCAATATTTTATTAGAGCTTTGCTAAAGTTTGCTATATTTAATAATACTTTTGCTGTAGGTACACTGTTTACTTATACAAAAGTGTGAAAACAAAATAAAACATTTTTAAATGTATAATACATTTTTGTTTATTTAAAATTATCTTGTTATAACATCACACTAGGAAGGATAGCATCATAGATTTGTATTACAAATATTTAATTTGTTTAACTTAATCTTCTTAGTAATAACTAATAAATGAAGTCACACATATTAACTAATAAAGAAATACTATACAATTATGTTTTTGATTTATACTTCTCAGCTATAAAGTATATAATTATACTATAATACTATAATACTATTATACTATAATTATACACGTAATATTCTAATATATTATAATTTTAGATAATATTATTAGCTATAACTAATAGCTTTACAAACAATCAAGTGACTAGGTTATCAAGTTTTTGATATGAGAAAATCTCATACCAAGAACAGCAATTTTTAGACTAGACTTTCTATTTACTTTTAAATACAAAAGTAAACATTTGATGAACTATTAAGATTTAAAAAAAAAAAATTACATAAATTATATTTGAATATGTGAATGAAAAAAAATTAAAAGACATTTTTACTTATACTAGGCAGCTAATTAAACAATTCAAACACACACAATCTATATAATTTATTTAATATTGTTATATACATAAAAAAAAAAGAAAAAATATCATTGTTTCTTAATCAACACTTATAGGCACATTTGCTACATATGTTGTAAAATTTGGTCACTGTAGTAAATTATAAATTAAATAATAAGGTCATTGTTGAGTTTTATTAAACAAAAAAAAAAAATTAAAAAAACAAAACAAAACAAATCAACAAGTTTACTGGTAAACATTTGTGATTTTGGTATTGTAGACTGAACTAAAAGATACAATAAGAAGAAACAGAAAAAAGTAAAAAAAATGAACTATGACAAACTATGTGAAACAGGACTTCGGTGAGAGGGTGTGCACAATGGACCTGTAGGTCTGAGTGCATGGGCCCATTCTGGGCCCACCCGTTAACTAACTAAAACTAAAACTAACTAATAAAATTTAAATTAAAAAAAAGGATTCATCGAAATTCTTCTCCTTCGACATATTCGGCTGATGTCTCTTTCCTGCTCCAGCACAAATGTAGCATCTTGCATGGTAACACGTTTTATTCTTTGTCCAAGGACCTATATATAGCAAAGAAAATGGTAAGATTTTTTTTATTTTACACATTATTATTGGGCTATGAAAACAACTAGTACAATCATAATTTCAATAGAATAAAAACTTAATTATTTAATTTAATTATTTTAACAAAAGCAATACTAACCATTTGTCTGTTTGCTGAACTTGTACTTGGACATGAATTCTGAAATTAAAAAAATTACAAATTTAAGCAAAAAATTAACATTTAATATGTTACAAATTTTTAACCTCATTTGGCTACCAAAAAAAAAACTCATTTTATTTTGTAATCACAAATAATAATTTAATAAATACATTTAGTAATACCTGCAGACTAGAGCTTGGGTCAAGTTTTTGTTTTTTTCTTGGGCCAATGGCATTTAAAGCAGTAAAATTTGCATCCCGCTGCCGCAGTTCTTCCATTTCTACCCTTTGTAACTAAAAATATATGACTAGTTAAGTATACTTTATTTAAAATCATAAAAAAATAATTATAAATACCTCTTTGGCTTTAGCTTTTAATATAGCTAGTTCCGGATTGTCATTTTTGGATCGGCTTTTGGCTGCACGCATTAATACCTCTCGTTCTTTATCTTCTTGTTTTCTACGTTGAATTCTTTCAATTTCATCAAGGCATTGAAGTTGACCTCGAATATTATTAGTCATTTCATAACGTGCATCAGCCTTAATAATAATACAAAAAAGTAATCAAGATCAAAAGTTAAAATTTAAATGATTTAATTTTACTTTGTTAAAATCTGTACGGTGTTCAGCTACTGTAGAAAACCTTTCTATCAGACCTTTTAAACGTTCAGTCAGTGCATGAGAAATAAGAGCAGGTACATCGGGTGCTACTTCTTGTATGCCTTCTCTTATAGCTATGAAACAAAGTACATAAGTATTAAATAAATAATTGTCTTTAATGTTGATTTTTTTAGTGTTTAATCAAACACAGTGGGTATAGTAGTTCCAAGGTTATTATAACTGAAAGTAATAAAATAATTTTCAAATAAACTTTTCTATGCAAAACAATAGACGGTAAAAAGTATTTAATATAAATAAAGTGTTTGTAATCATGTTTTTATACTTAAGGTTTTTAAATAATAAAAAGTATCTTTAGATATTTGGTTTTTAACATTAACATCTTATAAATTTTTTGATTTGAAAATAATATATTTAACATTTAGGCTGGTGGATCAGCAAATTTAAAGTACTGTAAAAATGTTTAAAAAAGATAAAATTACTATTATTACCAAAAAATAACGTAAATAGCGTAAAATAAAATATCATAAAAATTAATTATCAGCGGGTAATTAATATATTAAGTTAAAAAAAAAAAGGAAATCATTCCATTAATAATCAACAAGCTGTCTGACTTTGGGCAATTTTTTTATGATTTAAAGCAAATAATGATATTTGGAAAGAAAAAAAATCAATATTTTGATTGACCAGTTCAAAATAAATGGTCACGTAAACATGGCATAAATAACACGTCATGGCTATAATCAAAATACCATAATTGTTATTCGAAACAAATGAGATAGATCTAGTTTTCACGACTTATTTTATAATGAAACATAGTTTTAAGAAAAAATATAAAATTTCATCGAAAATCCAATTTGAGCTTCTACTTTGAAATACATTTTTGTACAAAAAATTATGAAAATAATCACATAATGGTAAAAGCATAATACATACGAGTGCAGTTTCAAAATGGTTATTTAAATACTTAGTTACAGGGTTTCAAAGTTCAAAAAAATTGACCAATATTTTTTTCTCCAGAATTTAATTATTATGCTTATTCAAATAAAAGCTCTAGTTAGATTTGTTATGAAGTTTGATATTTTCCCCTAAGGGGCTTCTACACTAGCATTCATTAAGGCGCATCGTATAGACAATTTTTTGCTAAAACATAACATTAAGCTAAAATGTTTAAACATACATATTACCATAGAAAAGACGTATCTATTTTGAACATAATTATTTTTTATTAACTTTTATAACGCATATAGGATCTATTTTGTACAAAACCACATGTTTCTACTTCAAACGTTCTGTCTTTAAGAATACATTGATTTAAGTTTATTAAAAGCATTTGAATTCTTCACAACATTTTCAAGGCATTGGTCGTGGCACAATTTTAAAATTAAGAATATTTTTTTTAAAACTTAAATCGAAGTATTCTTAGGAACAGTACGTTTGAATTAAAATGAGTTGTTTTCGAACAAAAATACACAGGTGTAAAGGCCCCCCACGCAGGCACTGTTAAAGGAGTTTTCTATAGGCAATATTTGTAGAAAAATAGAGGTTTAAATAAATGTTAACCATGTCAATTAATAAATCGTGAAAACTAGATCTTCTTTAGTTATTTTAAATAAGAAATGTGTTGTTTTTGGATAATACCAAGCCGTTTTATTTACGCAGTAAATAAGTCACGTACCTAATAAGTTTACGTACCCATAACATTTGAGCTTGACAACCAAAAAAATGTTTCCCTTTTATACAACATTATTTGTTTTTTTTATACAATTAATAAAAAAAAAAGTCAGGTCAGAAATTTAATCAATTGTTCATGAAGTTATTTGATAATGTAATTTGATATTTAATTTGTAAGCGTGTTTTTTCAGTTATTCCTTAATAAAAAACTACAAAATTTTGAAAAACTTTTTTCTATAAAAGGATCACACTAGGTAAATCTTCAGTCTAATTTTTACATCTTCTAACACTACACTAAAAAAGCGAAAAAAAAGCATATCTAAACCTCTAAAATGTATGTCTTCTGAATACCACAAACAAGTTTCGAAAACATTTGGATATTTTTCAAAAAGTTTATAGAGTTCAATAATTGTAATAAGTTACAAAAATGTGTACTCTTTTGGAGATTTTTTTAAGGTTTATAGCGAGAAGGGGTAAACATTTTTCATTTTTGGAATTTTAGAGTACATTTATTATCTATAGTCCTGCTAGTCTATAAATAAATCCTAATATATACGTGCTAATTAATATTGGTAAACAAATTTTCGTTACTGTTCTACTTACTCATTTTTATTGTTTAAAAAACAAAACGACTGAAGCGTTGAAGTGACCAACGAAGTATTTTTTTCGTTATTGCCAATATAAATTTTGTTTTAACTAATCATTTTTTTTTCGTTATGAATAATATTTTTTGTTTTTAGTTATACATTTATTGTCATTACCAATGCATAATTATTTTGCTAATATGTTTTTAAATCTATCTTCCTTTTACCGATCTATTTTTTCCGTTATTCACATACGTTTTTATTTATTTATAAATACATATTTTTATAATTACCTATTTTTTTTTTTTTGTTTATTACTATTTTGGGTTATTGGGCCATTAGACTTGTGAAGATAAAACTGTTGAAATGTATCAACGTATCCATTTTCTGTACCAACATCAATTCTTACAGTTAAAGGGCATCCGTTCGATTTTTTGATAGCCTTCACAAAATACCGGCGATGACTTTTTAATGTTGTCAATGTTTGTTGAAGCTGCTTCTAACCAAATTATATTTCTTCAAAATCCATAAATACCACTGAAGTTTATCGTAACCATTAACATGCTAAAAAGAATTAGGTCCTTGATTACTGCAAAATTTTTGTCATAAGCGATTTCTCCTTCTAAAGGCTACTCTTTCGGAATCTAATTTAAGTAAACGTTTTCGTATGACTTCTTGAGTTACGACCAACACCTTGTTGAATACATTTTAAGTGCAACCATCCAGCCATATCCGTGAAGCCGTGAACTCACACAAAATTTCAGCAAAAAAATGTACATCTTGCAAAGGCGTAAACATTGTTCTGCGATATAGATTTAACACTTTTTAATACCTTTTATTTTGTTTTTATTCAAATTTATGTTTGTCTGTGTACTGTATGTAATTTTAGAAATACTTAAAATTTATAATTTTTTCTATTAAGTAGTTCTCACTTTTTTCAATTAATTTTATGTTGTTTCTTCTGTTAGTATTTGAAGTATTTCTATAGCTCTGATGTACCTGAGGTTACTAATTATATTCACATACTCTAGTAAATCAACTATAATTCACATATGTCAAATACATATTTAATTTAATCTATAGTTGATCAGTCATAAGTGTGCAAAAAAAGTATTGTTCTAACAGTATTCGTGAAATTGTCTTTATTATAAGCAAATGATACACCATATTATTATTGTTAGTGCAATTTAACCCCAAATTAAAAAGTTATTATTACCAAATTTTTATAGACCAAATCATTATTTTTCTGCTACATAATTTACTTACACATAAATCATAACATAGCACAAGTCTTTGAACGGCGTACTACCCTAATAGTTGAGTTGTTAACTCTCAACACTTTACTTTAATTACATTTTTCTATAAAGTAATTTTTTTAGTTAAATAAGCTTTTAATGAAATCTTTATTGCATTATATTATCAAAATCAATTGTTTAATTTTCAAGTCAAAAATATTGTTTTAAAGGCTGGTGTTAAATTTTAGTTGGTAATGTTTAAAAGTCAAATAATAACTTAAATCTTTGATTTATGGAAGGATGAGGCAGATTTCAACTGGATTTAATTAACTTGCTCATAGTAGTCCAAAAGATTTAAGAAAAATACTGATAGTTGGTTAATGATCATTCCAATGAAATTGAATCCAGTTTAAGTTTGTCCCGTGTTCAAATTAGCCACATCCTTCCACATCTGTTATTTAATGCGGGATAATGTAATGAAATTAATGACTGGTCGTTAGCACTTTTCAATAAATTTTTGAATATTAGCGTTTAAGGTTTTTCGCAAAGTGAGGGTTTGACTGTAATGTTATTTTTTTTCCATAGGCACATTTCTCGTACTTCTTTATTATAACTTTTATTGCGATTTACTCAAAACATATTTATTAAAGACTGGTTATCGTACAGTCATTATATTTATTACATTATTCCGGTAAATCGAATTTAGACAAACAACATAAGTTTATCCAAGGTTAAAAATGTACATGCAAATAATATTATCCACGTGAAGAATCTCTAAAGAAAATGTTCGTTGATGTAAAATAAAATAAAATATTTGAATAAATTATTGAAATATTAAGTGGTATAAAATAAAAAATAAAATGATTCAAGCAAGTTCCATGCAAAAAAAAAAATGCACATATTTTAAAGCCAAACATCTATTAAATATAAAGCCTCCCAAAAAGATTCATCCGATTTCAGTAGGCTATAAATCTTAAAATCGTATTTTGTGACGGACAAACCATCTGAAAGAGAGGATTCACCCTATTCATCATTATCTCAAGAGAGAAGTTATTTTCAGATGCTAGTAGTTTAGGTTAGGTGGATGTGAATTTTACCTTTTAAACTTTATAAATAAACCTTTTTAACTAATAGGCAAAAAATTTCGTACACGAGTTTATTTATTTTGTCTGAAAACTAATTCCTATACGATTCATTTAAATCCACGATCTACTGATGTAAAATTATATTAAGTAATTCATCAATTAATTTGAATTATAACTGTTTTTTTTGGTAGGAAAGGGAAAAGTACGGAAACGTGATTCGTCAAAATATTAAAAATACGGTGTTGGCGAATAAGGTTTTGCCCTTTCCTGACACTACTGGCTTGTCCTATGGTCAATGGCTAACCCGTTCAATGCTGGCTCTGACATAATGATAGGTCACTTGAAAAAAAGCGACATCGATTTTTTGAAATCAGATGAACCCTTTTGAAACACCCTGTAAGTATCATTTACTTCACATTATACATGTTGTGTTTAAATAGCACAAAAAAGTTAAGTTTTCCAATAGTTATTGAAAACCTTGTTTATACACACACATACTTCAGCTACTTTTTTAATCCCTACACAAATATAAAGTTTGCAATAAAAAATGATGAAAAGGAACACCTGGCGTAAAAAAGATTATTATTATTTTTAAATTATTTAAAAGAAAAATCTTTTAAGATAATTTACTTGAAACTTGAGTTTAGAAGTTTCGTAAATTACCACTATTTATTGATTTTTGGTATTTAAAATTTAAACACCATTTTCTCAAATTTGCATCCTTGATAGAAAGAAAAGTATTTAACCTATTGACTGTTTGATGAAATTTTTTTTTAATTTATTACAAGGTTTTTTAGACGAACCTACAAAACTTAAAAAAAAAAGTTTCTATAAGTTTTTTTTCAATTTCCAAAATACCACAAACTTTTTTCAAAATTTACCTAGTTTAAGCTTGTTACACCAAGTGCTTCCAAATCAGGTGCCCGCAAATTATCAAATTTAACTTTTAGCATATACTTCATGATGTATAGTACAAAAAAAATTGTTATAAATACCAATATTTTTAATTTTTGCAGTCAAAGAGTTTTGTGGTAGAAGTGTTTTATCTTTGCATGATCTAATTTGAGTTCCAACAAACTCAGCAGATTCTAATATTCCATATGATTCTTCTGCCAAATTTACTCCACCCATAGCAGCAACATCATTAAAATCATCCTCAGGCCTTTATTAAATACAACATTTATTAAATCAATCAATAAATATGTCATACATTTAATGTAGGTATTCAATAACTACTCATACTCACACATAAGTTGATGCAAATTGTTTTTTTTCTTTTGAAGGAGGTTTGGAAGAAGAGGCCAGAGGTGTTTCATTAGCAGATGTTATTTTAACTTTGTTAATTGTCGCTGGTTGAGTTAATACATTTGGAGTCAGAGGTGTGCAAGGTTGATCAATGGGCATTTTATTTGAATGCATAGTTGTAGTTGAAGTGGTTTTAATCTGTTTATGTGATCCAGCAACATTCTTTAAAGGTGTGGCTTTAGGAAGCATTTGTCTACTACTTATTTTTGGTTGTGGTAGCGAAACCGTAGTAAGGGGTAAAGGCAACAAACCAGTTTGTGAGGTAGCTAATGGAGGTGGAATACGAATTGACCCAATTTTTTTATTAATGGAAGTAATACCAAATGGAGTTTGAACCCTTGCTCGTTGCTAAAAAAAAAAAATCTTAATATATTATGTGTGCATTTGTAATAAAATATTGGGAAAAAAGTTCCAAACACATTCATTAATTTTCAATACAATTTGTTTTAAAATAATAAATTATAAACTTCGATAGATTTTGTTATACATGCAGTTTTTATTATTATTATGTAAATGAGATATAGTGTTTCAAATCTTTGCTCCCGTATAACCTAATCAACCAAAACCTGAATAAATAGCTAAAGGCGAAAATAAATATAATCTTATATTTATAAGACCATAATTTATTTAGACCATAATTTTATGGTCTAAAACTTCATACACCTTAAACCCAATTAAGAAAGGTACAAAATCATTAATAGATAATACTGGTTTCAACCCATTATCAGTATTCTCAGAATATTACATTTTTTGAGTAACATACTAAAAATGTATTTGTATATTTAAGGAGAACTTAGTTTTTACAATTGAGAACACTTTGTTTATTAAGTTAAATAGTGGCAAGATACGCGGATAATGTAATAAATAACAATAATGTAAATAATAAAGGAGACCAAAAGAGAACTATGAGCAAATTTATGGAAGGTGAAAAAATTTGATAATAGTAAACGAGAAAAACCAAGTACATGATAGTTATGAGACATGACCGTGAAACATAACAGTTTTATATACACAAAATGTATATAATTATAGTTTTTAAAGAGTAACAAATTTCAAATACTTAGGAATAAACATTAGTGAGAACGTATACAGACACGAAGAAATAAAACTAAAATTAGTAGTAGCAAATAGATGTTATTTTGGACTAATTCCCCAATTCAAGTCAAAGGTTCTGTCATGGAAAACAAAAATTATTTATTTATTTATAATGTTATAAATTTAATTAGTCTTTAGAAATAGTAGACTAAGATGAGCTAGTCATGTACAGAGGTCAGAAGTCCCTTTGGGTTGGCCACAAAATGGCCCAGGCAAGGTTGGAAAAATAGGATCGACAATGATTTAACACCGTTAAGAGTTGACAATGGAACACAGTTAGCGAATGATAGGGATTGATGAAAGCATTTGGTGTTAAATATTAATATAGAAATTAGGGAGGTAATCATAACACTAAGAATACTAATAGAATTCAAATCAGAAGGAATATATATATTCCTTTATATTCCTTTTTTTTGCATTTGTTGACTTAGAGAAAACCTTTGATAATGTACAGTGGAGTGAACTATTCAATATCCTAAAACACACTGGCATAACATATTATGACAGAAGACGTATTTATAAATTATATAAAAACCAAACTGTATTAATATTTTCTGCTGTGTAGGAATGGAGGATGATCTTTAAACGATTCTAGTTAATGTAGAAAAAACTAGAAATCACAACCTATATTTTTCCTTTAAGCGCCCACAACTATAACTCGATTAATCATTCAGTTGCAAAGCTTTGAGAACTACCTTATAACTCATAATTCATATAGTAGTTATAACTAATTTTATCTTTACTGAGATAATCCTATGTTGTTTAGTGGAGCTGATAGGTCTTGTTGGTGTTAAAGTCGGATGATTAGCCATCATTCTCAAACTTGGTTGAACTGTAGCAGAACTTAAAACATTGCTCACCATTTGTGTATTCTAAAAAAAAAAAAAATTATAAATAGAATAATACTTATTAAGAAAGAGACGAGGGTTAAGATATACCAACTACAAATTTAAATTTAGATCACGTAATAAATTGTTGAATTATATTTGTTTATTTTCCTTAAAATTTTAGTAATCATTGTATGTACTTATATCTCAACTCCAGTATTATTTTATAACAAACATTTTAATGTACAAAACAGTTATTGCTTATTATAAATACCAATCCTAGAGTTTTGTCTACTAAGTTCAATATAATATTTGTATTTTTGGGTTTTTTATGCATTTTTAGTTGAATAACTTTAAAACAATAAAGCAGAAATCTAGGATATCCATTGATCTTTTATGATTATCAAAAACTACCTAAAATTTACTCCTTAATAAATATATGGTAGGCATCCAGATTTAATAATTAATTTGTACGTTACCATAACTTGCTGTTTAGTTGTAACTGTAGCTTGGGTCACAGCATTAATTTTTGGAGTTTTTATACCATGAATCACCAACTCTTTATTTATGAGAGATTGTCTTAAAAATGGCAAACTTTTCTGCAATTATAAAATCACAAATATATATTATTTTGAAAATAAATACTTGAAATGAATATAATATTACCTTTAAAAAACCAACAAGACACGGTTGTGGTGAAGCATTCAAAAGCTTTTCAAGCCTAACACAAAATTGCTCTGGCTCTACTTTAGTATCGACTAACTCTTGAATTAAAACATGCACACTTTTTTCCACGGCCTTTGACTCTTTCCTCGAAAGATCTAATAAATTGGCCAAGAATTTGCGACATTTTTCTTTAGTAGTATCTTGAATTTTTTGTTGTGCCTTGAAAAATGTAAAACACAAATTATAATGTGAATAATTTATTTATATTTAATTAAATATTAATGTTGTTTAGTTATTTAATGTTAATATATTTATATAAATTATATAATTTTTTTTATTATGTTATAAAATATTTATTTATATTAACAAACATACAAATAGAATAACTTTAAAGATAAAAGACTAGTGTCTTTCCATTTTTTGGTTCTTAATTATGGTGTCACTTTCCAATTATTTTCACCAGAGATTAAACATTGCCACATTAATAAATAACATTAATTTTAAACATACTTGTGATTGGGTTGTTGCTTGAACAGGAGTAGTATGTGAACCAGCAATAGAAACTTTGCTCTGAAATTATAATTGTCCATATATTTAATACGTCTATGTATAAATTAAAATATATATTATAAATATGTATAAGGCGAAAATTTGCCTATAGGCGTCTTTGACGCCAGGAACATCTGCCTAGGCGCTAGGCAGGTCGTTTCGGGGGTTTTGACGCCCTCGAAGTCACCAAATAAGGTTAAATTAGAAAGAAAAGTATTTTGTGTGCGAGTGAGTACAAGTTGTTTTTTTGTATGAATAACACATCAAATCCTGGCGCGCTTAGTATCAGCAATAGAGCGTGACTCAGCAATTACAACGCGGGGTTGCGCGTCTCTCTAGCTGCACTCCTCGCCGGGTTAGATTTTTTAAAATGCAAATTTGGGAAATTTTTCCTGCAAAAGTAGATTGTTGATTTGCAAAGCAATGACCATCGACGGCCAGCTCTAAACTTAGCAGCCTTGAATAGGGTTGTTATTTCAGAGAAGAAGACGTCTTTGGGCAACCCGACACCGGGAATCGATAAGGCCGTTGGGTTACCTGCTAAGAAGGGTTTTGAGGCCCTAGGACCACTCTAAGACCAATTTATCTAGAAAATTACTATTTTACTCAAATAGTAGTAGTTTATGTTCATCCAAGGACCGTTTTATATACAAAAACATTAAAATGTCTATCAAGGATAACAAAAGCAGTGTCATGGTTGAATTAAACAAGGTTATCGCACATATACCCCATCTTTGTCAAATTTTTTATGAAAAAATCAAATAAGTCAGCGTAACAGCACCCAATCAAAATCAAGTATATAAGTACACAGTAATATACATAGTAATTAGTAATAGTGAAGTATTTAGTAAAATTGATATCCCGTTTCACTGTCATTTTATTCCTGAAGATAACAATTTGAGACGATGTGTAATAACATGTATATTTCAACCGGACTGGTTTATGGCCAAGGCGAACCAAAATCAGAAGAACTTCACTAAGAAGATTGTCAAGGGCATAACAGACAAAGCAACGGCTCGGTAGAGTCTGATCCAGGTGGAGGCTAAGACCAACCTGCTGGAGAACAGGAGAGTGGCAAAGTCCACGTCATCGGTCAAGATGCTTGTAGAGTTTATAAAGAGCAAAATTTGTGCAGGTGGCATGATCTAGCAGTCAACCTCAATATTACGTACATTTTTACATTTTTTTGTAGCCAAAATACAAAAAACATATTACCTACTTATATTTTCAGTATATATAAAATTGTACCTCATTAAAAAATGTTGGTGGTTATACGGACCATAAAGCTATAACATATCCATGTTCAATGTATTTCCGGGGAGTGGAGAAAATAACTAGGTTTTTTTGTAAATACTTGCAACTTGCACCACACAACAATGTAAATAGTTGAAAAAAAATCAAGTTACAAAAAATTTACTTAAAATTCTTTTAGGCTAATGTTTTAATTCAGTGTTAATCTTGGTTGTTGGTCAGTGCACATTTTAAAGTTTAATAATTACTGATCAACTACCATATTACATCATAATACTACTATATAATACATATTTATAACATTATTATAAATACGATCAATTAAAAATCACTTCAGAAACTGCTGGCGGTATATTTTGAATTTTATAATTTCCAGTATTTGAAGTAAAGCCAGATACTTGACCAGGGGAAGCTACACGCAGTAACTGGTAATGCCCAGAGTCAGTTTTCAATAATATATGACCACCTTGTACTTGTTGAAGAGATTGTAAAGTAAGCTGCAACATAATATTCAAAATAATTTTACGCCCAATTATTTTTAAAAATAATAATATTTTGAACATTGATTCATTTGTCTATTTTTACACATACCAATATGAATATAATAGGGTCACATTCAAATTACTTTTACAGAACATAATGTATAATATATAATGTTAAGTTATAACTTTTTTTGTGTTAATTAATAAAATGTATTATATTTGGATAAAAATGTATTTTATACTACATTAACAACTCACCCCTGGTGTAACAGCTCGACTGCCAATGACTCCAGGTAATAAAACTTTTTGCACATTTTTATTCATTCCATCTTGCACAGTATGTGGCCGTAATGTGTTCAAACTTAGCAAAGGTACATTTGTTGGCATAATTGTTGGAGAAGAGTTAATAGAAGTGATACCGCTCAGTGCCATTTGTTTAGGTATTGTAATAACATTTGTTGCAACCGATGCATTAGAAACCTGTCCTGTAAGCGTCACTGTTGAAACTGGAGATAAAGATTGAAGTTTTTGTGGTGTGGATTTCATTATAACTGCCATATTATCACCTAGACAGGAATAATTTGATGATTTAATGTATCAATTAAATATTAAGTTTTATAATAATATTGATTAAACTATGTAGTGGTTAAAAGTGCAATAAATTTAGCAATACATATATATAGACAACAATAGCAAAAAAAATAAAACATAAAGCCGAGTAAGTATTAGGTTTTTGTTTTTTTTCGGTATATACTTGCAATAACTTTCTCAACTACAAAATTTTTATTATAATCGCACTGCTACAATGATGGATTTTAGACTGGATCGAGAAAACTAAAAAAACACATAACCTATTTTTTAATAAATACATTCTATAGATGAGAAATTGTACTGACCCAAAGTTAGAATAGTTAGTAGCTTTTTGGTGTAAAAATAATGAAATAATTACTAAATTTGTTTGTAAAATTCTTTAGACATTGCACTATTGATTTATAGTTTAAAATTAAGTAAATAATAATAATAAATATATTATCATTACCATTTATCAAAAAATTTAAATCAGTAAATATCATTCAAATTTACAAGAAATCAAATTGGATATACCATATAAGTAATATATTAGACAAAATTATAGTTTTGATATACTTTCAACTACCTAGTTTTTTTTTAAGATTTTAAAAATAAATTTAGCATTAGACTAAAATCTTTTTTTTTTTATTTAACCCTAGAACGCTAACCATTGGTCTATTCGACGAATACTGATAATTTTCAACTGACTATTTTTAGCATGTTTGTCATATGAGCTTCTACCCTCTATCTATCTCTCGTACATAATGTTGAGTATATTTAATGATAAAATTAAAAGCCCTATTGTTATCAGTTAATCGTCGACCTTCGATTGCACAAAATCTAAATTGTCGAATCAACGAATAGTTAGTAATACACGTAAAGTTGTACATACAAAATGCATGCTGTTTTAGATCATTGATACGACAAAGGTTAATGTCTAAGTGATGATTTCAAATAACACAAAATATATTATAATTATTTATTTATATTATTATATTTATTTTATAATAAGTAAAAAAAACAATCGGAGTAATTTTATTTATTTATGTACATTTTGTCAAACCGACAAATGGTTAGCAATAAAAGGGTAAAAATAAGGTTAGTATTCTAGGGTTAACATGTGAAAATCGTAATATAATCTAATCTGTTAAAAATCAACCAATAATTACCAAAAACATGGGTTTTATCATGTTTATATAAACCCAAAAAATATAACTCGATCTGCCTTTTAACCTTACAAACTCTAATATAATAACACAATTATTAAAATATAATTACCTATGTTGATAGTTTAAAACCAACATTTTGAGTAAGGGTCATAGTCTTAAAACTAAGCTCGAAAAAAAAAAAATTTTGAAAGTCTCCACTCCTAAGAGAAATGGCTTATGATCATTTTTTTTTGGTTTGTCAATGTTAATCGATTTGAATTTTTTTTTAAAAAAGGTTAGGGCAGACAGTAATTTTAAGTTAAATAATTTTTAATATTTTGGGTGTTAGTCTCGATTTTAAAGAGGAAGTGGTAAACATTTTATACTTTTGTACCAATATAATAATTATCTTTGGTAACAATTTCTGATACAATATATAGCATAAAGCATCAGAAAAACCTTAACTGACAAATGTATTATTTCAAGAAAAAGTCAATTATAATTTTTCTAAAGTCAATACATTATTTTTTAGGTTTGGGTCGGTTTGATTTTCAGTAAAAATAAAATTATATTATTCTATAAAGTTTATTTTAATAAAACAAAGTTTAATTCTGTGTGTATTTAGCTTTTCTGGCACCATGCAACTTGTATAGATTTGCTAAATTAAGAAATCAATTTAGCGCCTTAGAAAATATCGTGGATCCAGACATAAAATAATAAATAAAATCATATTATTTTAAAAACAATACCTCCTCAGCTCGAAATTAAAATAATAATAAAATGATTCTTTTCTCTCTTTAATCTCATTACCTCTCCTCCCCCAAACAGTTTTTGTGTACCTCAGATTCGGCTTGCCATCAAAAAAGGATTGGAGACCTTGCTAAAGAATAAAATATAATATGTCAGCCTCTATTCTACATATTAAGATCATCATTTTTCAAAGGTTTTTTCAATGGGCATAATCAAACTAAAGCGTTTGACAGTGATTTTATCACGTTTAAATGTATTACTATTTCTAAACCAGAAACTGCAAAAATATGTTAATGTAAACTGAATGCAATTGTGAGAATTACTGTGCTAGAATTTTATTTAGGAAATTCTTTATACTAAGCTATAAGTAAACTTTATGCCTTTTATAGACATTTTGTACAAAATGTAGTACAATCTATAATCAGATGACACTGGCTTGCTATATATGGAAGACATCATAATTTAATTGGTACTCAATAACATCCTTACTACCAAACACTGTGGAGCCAACATTTTGTTCACACTGAAAAAATATTTTAAAGTAGTAATTATCATTCAGTTAGACATTAGTTGTACAACGACACTCTAAGGACATAACACTTTTTCATTATACTTAATATTGGTTTTTATAAATTATAAGTAGACTAGTTTTACATTACTTATGTATTGGAACAGAGTAGCCATTAACCAAGTGGGTAATGCAACAGTGTTCAGCACTCATTGTCACATTATCAAGACTCGATTATGGGAAGCTCCATTTATGGGTCGAGATACCAAGTCAAATAGAATTTTATAGACATAATCTCATTATATTATAGGGATGCACAACATATCAGTTGCATTGAATATTTTCTTAATTTAACTTCATAATTATTTATTAAATTGTCATTTTCAGGCTAGTCAAGTACTCTAGATTACGCCTAAATGCCATCTCTCTCTTCGACTAACAACCAGTACTGGTATTTAGAGAAACTTAAAAGAACCCTCCAAAAATAAGCCCAAAATGACAGTAGTTTTGTTACATGGATAAAAGATTTACTATAATCTTAAGGCCAGCTTAAAAAATCTGTTTAATTGTACAGTTAATCTGCAAATTAGCTATACAAATAGTTGGTTTGCTAAAATTTATTATACATATCTAAAAATTAAAGGACTGCGTAGTTTGAATTTTTTTATTCTATTACCGCCTGGAAAAAAATGAATAAACAAACTGCACACAAAAGTTTGCGCAGTCCACCTGATTACGTAAATCCATATTTTTTTTGAGAACTATCTATTTTTAGGATTTTTTGGCTTATGTGTCCCAATAATTAAAATGATGCTACCTTCAGGAAGGGTTCTTAACAAATTTGCTATCCAGAATAGGTTGGAAGTCTGTCCCAGGAGAAGGCTTAGGATCCCAGGGGATCATAAGTTGCCGGTAAATGCGTTTAAACCTAGCGACAATGAGCGCTACACAATAGCACCATATCCACTAAGCCACTCATCCTTTCTATGTTATATGTAAGTTTTATAATTGAATACAAATATTTTGGATAGCTCACTGGCCAGTTTTTACGTAGCATGTAAATTGGTGCCTTTGTATTAAAACACAGTTAAGCATTCTATAGCAATGCCAATATATGTGCCACAATAAAGTGAGCTAACTATAATATTTATTACCAATGGTTATATGAAAAATAAAACTATCTATTAGAAAAATATTTAAAAATTCTGAACAGCATTTCTTGCTATGGTACATAATATAGATTATTAATTTATCGAAAATAGAATTCTGAACGTTGTAAGGCATCAAAAATAATAATATTATCACTAGTGGTAAAACAAAATAAAATAAAATATAGGAAACTATTAATAAAATAAAAATGAGTAATTCTAAATAGACTAATACTGACAAAACTAATAGACAGTTTAATAAATAAAATAAGGAGTTTATATTTTAGGACCAAAACAAGAGATAATTTTAAATTGTTAAAATTTGGTTAACAAAAAATGTTTAAGGTATGAAAACGTAGGTTTTAACAAAATATTTTAGTTTAACTAACCTGTACCAGTAGAATTAATTATGCTGTTAGTAATCGAATCTACAGGTATGTAGCTGCGATTATCAGAAGAATTTGAGTAGACCACATTGACGGTATCCTGGAACTGCACAGGCTGAGCCGGATAGCTATATGCCAGTGGTTGGTCAGTGACATGTTGCTGCTGTGGATTGACAAAATCCGCTTGGCTTATGCTTGGAATCGAACTGACGTTACTTGCAGTGCTACTTGCAGTTGCATTATCTATCGCTGACTTTGAAGGGCCGGGACCACTCATGGTTAGCTGCAATCGTTTATCGGTTGTTTGGTTTTTATATTTAATATTTTGTCTTGGGGGCGGCCGTCTACTAACGGATCGATAAAACGGAGGGATGCTGTTGTGACAGTGACGCCACACGGTGGGAAATCTCTCGTATTGGAGGTTGAATATTGTGATATATTGTGATTACTAAGTTAATAGTAAGTATGCCAGAAACTTGTTTAGAATTTTCATAATATTGTCTTCCGTACACACAATACACACGGTCGCTTGTTAAAGTTGGCGGGCATTTGTGATTATCACAGCTTGCTGATCTACTTGTATGTTTTTGCTGTGATATCATGATAATCTGGAGGGAATGAAATTTCGAAACAAAAATAAATCTACAAATTAACGCTAAATAGCAAATACTGATCGTGTGAGAGCTTTACTTTAAGCTAGTGAGGTGTAAAGGCTGCTGCAGTTCCCACTCGCTATTTACTGACACTTTCCGGCGGGAGAACGCGAATGCGCAAAAACCAAAACGCGTTTCTTTGTGCGGGTTGGTATCTCTGCCACAAGACGCGCGCGACACTGGTTTTGTTCAAACTACAAAAGTACAAAATATAAGACGTGTCGGCTAAATTACGTTTAGAATAAAATACTATCTTAGACATTATTTTCGTCTTATACTCTAATTTCTATTCCATATAAGAAATGTAGTGCACAAAAACCTAAACGCATCACTCCTGGCTACGCAGGCGCATATGAGTGTAATGCCTTTTGGATTCTGCGCACTACCTTTCTTACGTGGAGTAGAGTTTAAATATTTTTCCGTAAAATTATGGTCGTACAAAATATTTTCGAACTTTTTATAGCCCTCCTTAAAAACTCATTTTTTCCCTTTGACAATAATCGATAAATTAATTTTTAAGTCAATTATATTTTTAATATTGCATAATTAATTCAATAATAAAATTATAATACTTGAAATATTTATGAGTAAAATAGTCACTCTGTTACAACTGTGACTTACATTGTTTTCAATTTGTAAAGCATTCTATTTTATTCTAGCTAGGATATCAAAACCAATGAAATCTATGACAAAAAAAGGCGGTCAGGAACATAGCGAGCTAATTGGTTCAAATTTTTCTGTATCACAACTACAAAAAACGGCTTGACAATTGGCATGTAGATATAAACAGCATGTAGCTATAAAATTCGAAAACATCAGTGTATTGTGTACCTATCTGCTAAAGGAAATGATTTAAGTAATATAATCCAGAAATAATATGTTTTTGATCAACTACAGAAATTGGGTAAATACAATAAACACTCTGGCGAGTATTTAGCTGCAGAATAATCACCAGCATGATATCTAATGTGATTGTTCAACTTACTCTAAAAAAAACCTTAGAAACAACTCGGTACTTTAGGTTTAGTCAGTCATGTACACATAATTCACATGAAAGACTTGTCTAGTGGCCAAAAATCATGTGATGCTTTAGCCGAACTCTGATTGCTCCCAATGTTATTATAATATTAGTACGCTTATTAATTATTTAACCTTTGTTTCATTTTTATAGTATTCATGTTAAACAGGATGAGCCACCAATAATTTAGACATTGAGTCCATTAATGCATTAGCCGATTCTATTAACAATTACAAAGGAGGTAAGAATAACTTACTGTGGTGTAAACAACAAAATCAAATTCTATATGTATTTTTAAATATTTAAAATTCACTTAATCAACAGGTGATATAATTATTTCCCACAACGAATGATTAATAAGAGACACCGATTGTATTCTTTGGGTAATAGAAGATTAAACTATAAAAGAATTAGATGGAGACTTTGACTATAAAAAAGAATTGCTTGAATGTTTGGGAAAATATATTAACAGTCTAAGTATTACAGCCAATGCCGCAGTGGAACAATTATACTTTTCTTTTTTAATATTTAATTTTTTACAATAACAATGTTTATATTTATAAATTAAAACTAGTAATATTATAAACAAGTATGCGACATTGTTCAATTCTGAGATTTTAACCCTAAACTAGTGACGTGCAGTATAATATATTTGTTTGATTAATTGATTAACAAATTTATTTTACTTTACACAAAAACGGTACAGTCAAAATTGAATGAGTAGTGGTGTCATGCAGCAGGTCACTAGTTGAAGAATTAACTATTTTCTTCTCTTGGAAAAATTAAAAAAAAAATGTAAGTTTTTTTGACCGAATCAATATTCAACATGGGTACTCTCCTAATTAATTCAGACTATAATAATGGTCAAGCTATTAGTTATCACTACGGTATTTTGTCATATGTTAATGAATACAAGATGTATTAAAATAAGTATAGGTAGTATTTATTTGATTTACTTGGTAAGAAAAGTATTAATCATATAATGAGAAATGTGTTGTAAGAAAATTTGTTAATTTTTATATAATTAGAGTAAATAAGTAAAACGAGTAAATATATATTTCTTACTTTACCTTTTTAAATAGTTTAAATCTTTGACAACAAAGTTGTTGCTTTTGACTGTATATTTTAACACATTTTTTAACTAATTGCAAGTACAAACACATGATAAAGAATTAATAAGATGGGTTTTAGTAGATTATTCTAGCTACTAGAATATATTATGGCAGACGATATTAGTGATTGCTTCGAAGACAGACATCAAGTCCTAGGCTTGAACTCGTTCACCAAAAATGGGAATTATATTGATTCACCTACAGTTAGTTCTAAAAAAAAAAAAATTGTATTAAAAAAAATATATATCTTTTTGGCATGAAAGAATTGATCAGTACATTTGAACTTGAAATCAGCAATTAAAGCCAAGTGATCCGAAGGAAATGTGACACTCGGGAGACCAACATTTTCAATGACCTCTTCGTGTGATGGCATAGGTAATACCTTAAAACAATTAAGTAAACAAACATCATTAAAAACTATGATTTTCCACCACAAAAATTTGATCAAATAACCTGTAAAAGTTTCAGATGATCTTCTGTAAAATATATATAGTCTAAAAGACCAAAAAACGTTTGAGTAAAATTACTGTAATCCACCTTAGTGCTGTATGCACTATACATTTTAAAATCAATTTTATCCTTTAAATTGTTCAATTCAGCACAATGTCCTCAAGTTAAAAAAAAAAGCTATTGTCATTAAAATGTATCATACGATTTAAAATTGTATTAAATAAATTACTGTGTTCTTCGGGTAACAATGAATTAGTCACCAAGTCATAAACTCCGCTTTCTGGTGTACTATTGAAATCGCCACAGAATATAACAGATATATTCCGATCAGAGAACTGCATAGAAAAATCGAAGTTAAAAAAAAATTTAATAAAATTTAATCCAACTCTGAAGACAAAAGAGACTAAAAGTTCATAATTATGACTAAAAGAAAAAAATGTGTTAAACTTAATAAAAGATATTTATTGATGTGTTATTATTAATTTAATACATGTCAAACTCATCTAAAACATAATTTATAATCTCAATCTTTAGTAAAACAAGTACTCAGTCTCTTTTGCTTCTCAAGTTATGTATTATTAATTCAGTTAATATTTACATGATTTTTGACAGTCTTTTTAATTTTTTTAATAATTGCAAGTTCAACTAATGATTGCAATAGTCGTATGGAATCACCATCAGGATCCGATATCAGATGGGTGTTACAAACTAATAACAGATGCTTGCTACTGCACCGCGTTTCCAAGAGTAAAATCTAATAACACAACAACCAACAAACTATAATTTAAATAACGATAAACATATTTTTCAAAAACATATTACTCTAATTTAAAAGTAAAATATATACAATATGTAATAAACAAATAGTTTTACTTGCAAGACAGTTTTCTTTAGTAGACCTTGTTTCCACTGATCATCATTTAAAATAGCATTTACGAGAGGCCCACAGTACATTTCAACTACCACGTGATCATTTAGTTTTATATTAAATTGCTCCAGCATGCTAACGTCATACAATAAATAACTTAAGAGTTATCCAAATTTAAATATCTTAATAATACATACACAAATTTATCAGCAGAAAAAAAACAACTCGAGCCTTCATTTTTATTACCATCTTTTTTGCAATGAACTCCGTTTAAATTAAAATTATGTTTTAATAAAGGAACTAATACCCTATTGAAAAATTTAAGTTCCACTTCTTGTAAACATAATATATCTGCTTCATAAGCTATATAGTACAAACCAATAATTTACAACTGTGTAATAAAATACTAAATGTTTATTATAAATAATACAATTTTACCTGTTAATTCTTTCAAGAGAAGAGGGTTCCGATAGCTAGATGCCAATATAGATGCAGAACAATATGGATACATTTCGTTTTTGGCTTCCTTAGTTTTTGTGTAATCTTCGGCTAATATATTATATGATAGAACTCTAAAACTGTAAGGAATAATTGCAAATTATTAAATTTTTAAAAAATGCTGTCCATATCATTTAAATATAAACCAATGTTCCAAACAAGTGAGTAATATTATTTTCCTCATTACTCTAACACTAAAAAAAAAAAAAATAATAGATACAAGATCATACAGCCTTACAGCATAAAGAAGTTAAATATTTAAATTATAGTATTTCTTTATAAGAAATCACTTTTGTAGAACATCAGTAAATATACAATTTTCAGTTCAATAAATTATTTTTTAATTAAGAGTATATTATAACACATTTATTCATTTGTAATTTGTATATTACCTATTACTCGGTTTATCGATTAGTCTTTTCTCAAAAGGATAATTATCTATGATGTTATCAACAACTTCCTCAGACAATACCTCCACTGTTGGTCCAAAGTGACCTTCTTCATTGCAAGGTTCACAAACTAGTTTTAATTTACACTTAATATCATCATCAGATGGTATATATGCAATACTATTACCCACCTTAACAACATTATTTGATTTTACTCTATACCAAGTATATTTGCTTTTCAAAATCGATACATTATATCCTTTGTCAAATGCATAAGGATATAACATTAGACACTTGTAAGGTTTTCCAAGTAGTAGATCATTTATTATGGGTAGATCAACCATGACGGACAAAGTTTTATCATTTATTTCGAGTGAAATGTTTATATTTTTACCATCAAAAACTTGACTGCATTTTGTTTCATCAGGGACAGTTTGTCCATTAACTTTCAAGAAAATACAATCAGTTATTGGTTCATTAATCTTTTTTTTTACTTTGGCTTGCTGTATTTTCAAGGCAAATCTTTGCAGTAATATAACAACAGTATCATCTGGTTTACGACACATATTCAAACGTCTCGTGTTATTTTTTATTGTTATTAAGGTAGTTATCATATATTTTTTTTCTATTTCACCAGGCAGAATTACAGAGTTGACAAACATCACGTTTTCCCACAAAAATAGTTTGAGTGAAGACATATCTCTCTTAGTAAAAATTATGTTCTTTATCAATTTGCTGAAATATCTCATAGATAGGTTTAACGTTCCTAAAGCACAAAACAAATTATATGATAAAAGCAAATAAGTAAGTAGGTGATATTATTCAATTGGTTAACTCACTTGAGTTTATACTAAGCATAAATATTAAACATGACAGGAAAATACTGACTTACTAACTTTGGTATACAAATGTCAAAATGTTCAACTTAAGTGTCCAATCGTTTATCTTCTATAGACAAAGAAATTTACGAAAAATATAAATGAGATATCGTTTGCCGGCGGAGACGGTGTTCCTAGATTTATAGAGTACAAAGATCATAGACGGTAGACCTGTTAAAATAAAGAAAATAGAAATGGGTAATTAACTGATAGCTGTTGAGAGAAATATCCGAGACCCGAGTACGGCCTTAGAAGATAAGGTCGGTTAACTCCGTCGTTATCAGTTGCTTCATAGATGAAATACTTAATCTATGGTTGCTTGCTTAAAAAGGCAAAAACATTTACGGAATACACCACTTTACCGGTGAGCGCTGCTGTAGGTTATATGTTTTTGAAGTTATGTTTAAACATATAACATGATATTATACCATTATACCAAGCTCCAAGTTTTCAACTTTCAAAACTCGAAAGCAAATATTCAGCATATTAAATAATTTAATTTATTACCAATACAGATATATTAGATAATTAAATTCGAAAAGCAGTCAACATTTCTATAATTATAAATTACAACCATAATTATATTACTTTCCAGAATTAATCAAATATTCAAATCTATGGTAATATTTAAAAAATAATTATATAATATAAAACATAGCCCCTTTATTTTCCTTGTTTGGTAGAAATAAGAAAATTAAAGAAATTAAATTGGCAATGCACTAGTAAAAGTAGTTTAAGGGTAACTTTTATTGTAAAATTTTATTTGTAACAATGTTTTGTCTACACTAATTTTTACTATTACTATTATACGTCAAATACCTATAGCTAATTATTGTTAAAAGGGGTAAATAAATATCATTTAGTTCATTAATTTGGTGAAACGTAATACCATTAATTCAATGGTAATAATATTTTACTAGTTTCTACAATTTTAAATTACATTTAATGCATTATTAGTTAGGAGTTATCTAATGATAGGTAGATACATTCTATTATAAATTGTAACTAATTTCATATAAGTATCAAAATATAGCATTTATATTTAAAAATAATGTATTAATATATAAACATAATTCAAACAAGTTAATACCAAAAATATCAATAGATGAAAAATAATTAACAACATTTTTTTTCGAAAACCAACCAACAAATAATTTTAACTAAAAAATGTATAAAATGCATAAGTATCGTATTATGTTATTACTATATTAATGCTAGAGAAATTTAGTACCAATTGACTATTAAGTCAACCAACATAGCGTTTTGTTCAAATGATATGTATATTATAAATAGGTTAAAAAATAAGACACTTATATACCTAGTTTACATTTTATGTATAAACTATTTTATAGTTGTAATAAGTAATCTTGTTGATATGAAAATTTAGAATATCAGTTTTCAAACACTTTTTTTATAAAATTATTAATGAGCTCTGTAGCTAAGATTACGAGCATTGTCCGTTAAGTTAATTTTCCAGAGATATTAAACATAAAAATACACAAAAGATACTTTTTAAGTAAAATTAAATTTAAATATTTTTAAAAATATAAATGCTATGAGAAACAACACGTTTTATGTTATATAAATTATGTTATTATTCGCCAAACAATTTTTTTCCCAATTCCATAAATTTGTGACCTCGACACGCTGTGATAGCATCTTTTTTTTTTAACATAACCACTAGATCGCCATTAGCCTCAATTAGTCGACATAATAAGTCTTCATATGCATACTTAACGTTAGTTGGTAGCGTGTTTGGTTTGATTTTTACAAGCATATCAATTATTCCTTCAGCCCAACCACTCTCAATAGCAAACTCGGATATCCAAGGTACAAGGGTTAGGATACCACTTAAATTTTGCATGCCTAAAAACCATAACTCCTGAAGTTCCATCCATGACTCTTTGTAGTTCATGGTGACAACTAGCTGACCCATCTTATAACGTGAGCTGCCACTACCACTGTTTTCATCAACGCTGTATGCATCCCATAAGAACCTAATGGTTGCTTGGATATATCGGCAAATGGAAAAGTCATTCTTTTTAATATAAGCAGTCTTCAGTTTTAATAGAAGCAAACCCAGTACTGCCATGTTTCCATACATTACAAGGTTTTCGTGGTTATTTTTTAATTCCGGTAAGTTATCAAAAATAAACTTCAATAACGTGAAGAACAGAGGACTATTCTTAACGTAGTCCACTTCTAATACACAAATGTTCATAAATGTGTTACAAATACTAATAATTGCTCCACGAGAATCGGCCATTTTTTTCAAACGAGCTTCTGGAATCTCTGGTTCTGGACCCCTCGGCTTTAAACGTTCTGACTTAGGGATCACTGGTTTTTTATAATGAGCAATTGACCAATGGAATGTTAAACATTCTTGCAACACTTCGTCTTGTTTGATTTTTAAAAGAACTTCTCTACCTTTGTCTTCTACAGCTATGTGACACAGAGCAGGTAAAAATGCTCTCAATACGTCTACTGCACCTAAGGGGTCCTCTGGTGCAGGTGTTGGATTTGGTAAAGCATTCTCCGCTAAATATTTTGCTCGGTAAGCATAGAATGATTCATTTGCAATTTGCAAAGCAAATGGCAGAATATTGTTCACAGCTGGCCGCATTGATGAAGTTTCTTGTGCCAACCAAGCAGACAATGACATAAGCATTACACATATGAAACATTTTACATTATTTTCTAAGGGTTTTTTTGAATTGGAAAGATTTTTCAGTACATTCATAACAGCAGTAAAGGCACCTTTAAGAGCTGTGTAAGTTTGTTGTTTTTCTTTTTGTTCAAAGTCCAATACATCTGTTGCAATATAAGCAAGTGATATTTCAAGTATTGTAAAACAAGAACTAAGTAAATTTTCTGCTTCTAAAACCTGGAAAAAAGCATATATAAGATAAAATCAGACCACAATTTTTTCATTTATTAATCAATAATTAATATTAATTTAAAAAAAAAATGTTTTGTTTAATACTCTGTTTAAGGTAGAGTTGAATATAGCGATGAACCAATTTTAAATTTAATGGATAATCAGGAAAACATTTTTTTTTTTATACTAATAACTAGCCTGGTATTTCTGGGAAAAAATATGAAATAATAATGGTTTAAGTTCGATAAATCTTTCTTTCTAATATTAGCTCATTAATTTAGCTTAAAAATAAAAATGTTTAAGCTTAGCGGTTTCCAAATATAGAATGAGTAATCAATTACAAAGGGTCTAATATCAAAAATAATTTGTACCCGCTCAACTCTAATTTAATTTTTACTTCTAACATTATTCAGCTAAACGTAATTTTTACATATTAAATTTTATAATTAACTACTATACCTAATTCTTAACTGGGATTATTTTAGTAAATACATAAATATTATCTCTTTCTACATTAGTAATTTATTAGTTATCATTAGTCTTAAAATTGATAATAAAAAATCTAGGAGTTTTAAGCAATCTTTAAATAACTCATCTCCCTTGTGTTCAAGTTTTGGTCATTAAATTTATAGATGTACAATTTTTCTGTAAGTATATTGTATTATCAAAGTGTAATTATTGTTGTATAATATTTTTATATAGTACCACTTTAAAATATTAAACTCTAAGGCACTTGCACTATTTGATCACTACCCTAAAAATGGCCTTGAGTATACTTGATCTGTTTAGTTTGTAATGGCTATCACAAAATTCGTTTGGAATGGCAATTAACTTTTTCGGTACAAAGAGCATTAAGGGGTGGACCTACAAGCAGAGAAACTGAAAGCTGAAGGAAATAGAAAAATATGTCAGCTCCCCCGTAAGCACGATTATTGCCTATACATCAGCCGTCCTGTTGTGGTAAATATTAACTTTGCAAACAATATTAGAAATTGTCACAAAAAAATATATTTTAATTAACAATTAAATTATGTTTTTTAGATTAAAACTCACAACAGCAAAGATAATAGTTAGCAGTATTTAGGCGAAAAAGGTTTAAGGAAATATATGGTTAAAATTAGAGATGGGATTTTTGGATCTCAAGTATGAATTGATTCTTTCAGTTTGGGTTAATTAAACGACTTTTTCATTCATTTGAGTACATTTTGGTGTTATAATTATTAAAACATAAATTTTATCATAAAAACATACTAATATATTATAATATCTGATATAAATATGAATATTATAATTACTAGTTAGTGATATGAGAAAAATAAAAATTTTGAATTACAGTGTGTTCTATAATTTTTTTTGACTTGGTTCATTAGTTTTTGCAATCAGGATCTAATGATTTGTTCATTCACAAATGACACACTTCTAGTTAAAATAAAAATAATTCCAACTATTTAAACATAGGCCTAAACTCTTATTATTATTTATCCAATATCTACAGTAAAAAGTAGTTTTTTTAAATATTTTCAAAATGTTATCAACCATGTTTCCAACAGTTTATAAATGTTTTGGTACAAAGTTTTAAGGTTCAAAAATAATATATACAAAATATTGTTAAAATATTAAAAAAATACTGGCAATTTTTTTTTTTTAACGTTTATACTTTTTTGAACATCAAATTACACGTTAAAACAATTGTATTACATAATATAAACTTTTGACACATGTTTGACAATATTTAAAAAATATTCAATTGTTTTGCTGTTTAAGAAGTAATTTTTTTATAATAAATACCTGTTCAACAAATTTTTTGTCTTCCAAATGCATACGTATTTCAATTGAAGCCAAATGAATCAAGAGTAAAAAAAAAGCTTTTGGTTTGGCCTCATCCTGAAGGGACCAATCAACTCCAAATATGGTGAGCATGTGCTGAGCTAATTTGAGTGCTGGATCTCGCTGAGCTTTGACTATTTTGCTCATCAAAATATCGCGTAATCCAACAAAAACTTTTGATGGCCAAATTTCAGTATCACAGGAACTAGGTCCTATTTCAGGTGGACAATTGATCAAAAGTGGTGACAACAGGACACACAGTTTGAATTTTCGCTCGCTATGGTCTGTTTCAAAATCTACTGCCAAAACATTAATTAAAGAGTTAAAATTTTTTACATTGTTGTTCCAAGAAGAAGAACCAAATTTTTCAACAATTGTCACTAACAATGCCAATGCTTCATCTGTTTGAAAGCTTTTTACTGAATACACTTCACACATTTTACCAACTGTTCCAGCATCCAATAATGATTTTAATCCTGTTTCGAACTGTGCGATAAAATTTAAACATTTATATGCCTCATTGATGAGCATAAGATTATCCTCATCTTCTTCGTCTTCGTCTTCATCTCCGCCGCTAAGTACAATTTCAAGAAAAACACCAACATTTTGTAATATTTCCCGATGTGTTGCTACCTCTTCGACATTGCACAGTGACGTCAGTATACTCATGGCAACAGATTTGTAAACACACGGTGGACAACCTGCTGGCACTTCATTGCTGAGCAGGAGCCTCTTGATGAATTTGAACTCGATGGCCTCAAACAAAGCCAGTTTTGAACGTGCATTACACTTTTCTGCTTTCACCGTTTTGGTAACCAAAAATAAGGCAGCAAATTTTTCAGTATCGTTTTTTGCACCTTTAATGACACCAACACATTTTTTTACAGAATCCAATACTTCTCCACTCATTTTAACACAAATTCAAATACACCTTAAATAAATATTAAATGTTGTTTATTAGTAGGTATTAATATAAATATTAAGGGGGAAAAAATCTATTCACTCACGAGACATTTAACGCACAGACGGAACTGTATTAAATTTCCGAAGTGAACATAGAGAGCCCCACTCCATGCAATCTAATGCATACTGCTAACAAACTGTACTCTATTTATAGTTTTTCTGAAGTTAACCACCACAGATATGTGGCTCCGTGCCAGCTTACAATGCAATTACATAACGACTAATAATAATATGAACAATACATTACAACACTTTAGGCTGTTACTTTGCATTCACTTTACTTGTTTATTAAAACCCTCTCCGACCACAGTCTTTTTTTCCGTGTAAATCAACGCGCGAGAGAAACAATACAAATTACCTATGTTCATCTTCATTAAAGATAAAAAGCACTGGACGTTAGCCAAAAATAATCGTCATTAAAAACAAAACGATTTATTCAAAACCATTATGTTTTCGATTGAAAACTTGACGAAATTCGGATGAGTTTTACTAAAAGAAAATGTTAATTTCGTATTGAATAGACTACATTTGACAATAGACGGTAGTAACTATAGCTAATATGTCGCAATTATACTTGTTAGTTTCAAAACTCAAATTCATTCGTTGTATTATTTAACTTATTATTTTAACGCACGTGCGATTTTCAGCTGATAACAATATAACGGTGCCGTTATCACTTATCAGTGAAATAGTGAATAATTTTTCCTTATCTTGTTTTTTATATACATTTTTGAATCAATTAAGAACCGGAAATGACTGTGGCGGGACGAGGGTAGAAATGTAACTAACGTCACGTTAGTAACGTGTACGCAAAACATGAGGTGAACAGAAAAAAATATTGGAGAAAACAGCTGTAGGTAGTCAAGATAGTCTATATATCCAAGGAGATATAGTACTAAATGTTGTAATATTGAGCTCGGTGAGATGCAGGTATTTGAATAATATAATAATAATTATTGCTGGACGAGGGCATTGGTCCAAATTTCAAAATTACAATAATAATTTATAACACATTTTTATGATGACTCAAAAATTCATAATTAATAATAATAAATAAACGGCATTAGCTCTAAGTGTAGGACTTCTAAATGACATCATATTATGTGTTTACTATTTGTGCGAGTCTCCACATCATGAAACTAGATCAAGGATTTGAGAAGAAAAACACTCATTAATAAAGCATAAAGTCTAAAAATAATAATAGTGGGTGGTGCGCGACTGGTGTTCTTATGGTATAACTAACTGTCAGGCGTTAGTTATATCATGAGTGTTCTATTAGATGTGGCTTGAGAGAAACGTTAATCCATTAAATAATTATTATTATTTTCGCAAATTATTGTTATTTGTTTTAGACATAAACATGTCGAGAGAAACTTAAACAATTTTTAAAATTTGCTGGCTGCTTTGTAAATAAAATTTGCCAAAATTACAAAATATATTTTTAAATTAGGTTAAAGACGAGCAATTAAAAAAAAACCAAGAAATAGTGAAGTTTTAATGATCATTGAATTGGTACAAGATGAATTAAACTTGTATCTTGTAGAATGTTATTCGTTTTTGTCAAAGAAAAAATAACAATTTATGAATACCAATATCCAATGGGTGTGATACACGACAAACTAGTTATTATAATAACTATAGTTAAAATATAAATTCATATTCGTCCGAAAAGAATAATTATAGAAAAAAGATACAATATTTATAGTATATATTATACATAGCAGATAGCCTGTTATATATAATAGTTTGATATATATATATATATACCGTTTTACCCATTCATAAGAAATAAGGTAGGGAGAGATTTTAATCATGCCAGCTTATTAAAGAATACATTTATATAATATATTATATTATATCCAATAGGTGATACAAATTACAATGTGATATAAATATCAAATAAAAAATAAAAAATAACATTATAAAATATCTCCCTATCTTATTTCTCATGAGTGGGTAAAACGGTAACTTAATAATATGGTCCTTAAGAAAATGTTAACATTTTTTATTTACAAAACGTGGATACAACCGTAAAAATAAAAAATAATTATGCGAGTACTATAAGTACTAAGTAGTACTATGAATACAATTTTGTACCAAATATAAATATTTGCTACGTCCATTATGGACATATGCGTGCAGTGAACTTAATTTTATCAATTAATTTTGTACCATATGAGTTAAAACCTTTTACTGTTAACTATAAACTCTTATTGTATTACGATTTGAGAATAAAATCAAAATTCCAAGTAACTTATTAGTTCCACGGGTATTACTAAGTGAACTAGCGCCCGTCCCGTGTCGACGTCCAGAACTGAAATTTGTCTCGGTGGGCTATCTATAATAATTATAATCAAAGATATAATGTACGAATCGTGATGATGACACAGAAATCGGAAAAAAATTTAATTTTTCTGTGATGATGGTTTTATCATCTAATTACACAAGCACACGCGTATGTTGGTGGTTTCCGATTGGTGAAAGGCGAAGCAAAAGTAAAGTAGGTACATAAACGTTGCCAGAACTATAAAAACCCCAATTTTAGTCACGACCGGCCTACTTCCACGTGCTTGCAATAATATAATGATAACATGCCTAGAGTTTATTGATAAAAAAATGTAATGATAACTCTTTAATAAAGCAGACCAATAAGTACTCTCAAAATATATAAGTGTTGACAAGTGACAACAATAATTATTGTTGCTGCAGTAGTGTTCCTTCTAAATATCAAAATTGCTGCATTTTAAAATAAGATGCGATCACGATGGCTTTCGTTACCTTTTGTCGTTTGCTTTTTGTTATTTTTGTGCTTGATTTTACTATTAATTAATTTTTTCGAACTAAACTGGATGCAAAATGAGCACAGCAAGTTTCACCATGTTCAACAGTCGTATTCTAACAAACCACAACATGAACTGGTTGTAGGCATAAAACGACCAATCTACACTGTATTTGCAAAGCATGTTAGTGACAATTGGCAAAAAAAAAAAAAATTAATAATGATAAATGTATAGAGTAATTCAAGTTTTGTACTTACAGTCCGAAGCTGGTCATTTAAAGCATGTTTATGATGTTCTTGACATCTACGGCTATTCGAGAAAACCTTTAGAGCCAGATACAGATTGGAACTTATTATGGGCTCACGAATACCCATTTAAAACACTTGCTGATAAAATTACATTTGCTAATTTAAAATCTAATCAAAAAGTAAGATTTTCTTTTTTTTATTAAAAGTTCTTTGTAGCTTATCTTATTGATTTTAATTAGCAAAAGCCAAAATGATGATTTATGTTTTATATTTTTATCATTAAATTTGCTTGCCTGACAAGGGTCCATCTTGTTGATTTTATTTTCAGAGATACAACTATACAAGGATATTCAAGGGCGGTTCTAAGACTTAAATTTTGTAAGAGCAATAGTATACTTTTAAGTGAGCTATATGTGCAACTTTAATCCCCAATTATTTTTTCGCTTTAACACATTTCCAGCAAAGAAATTTGGTTCTCTGCCCGTATGCTAGAACTATGCTGAGTGTATTTTATTATTAGAGTCAACATTTTTGATTTTATGGTTTTTACTATTTTTAAATTATTGAACATCTTAAATATTCAGTAGATATGTATGCTCATTTGATAATTTTAAAGATAGAGGGTTTTCAAAAGGAGCTTTTAAATCTTTAAATACATTTTGCTTAAAACTTGTATTTTTGGGAATTTGCAATTCAAGCATATATCTCTGTGTATTTCTCTGTCAATTTCCAACAAAACAGATTTGTTAACTCCATACCTACATGGTGGCTCTTATCACACGGACATACATAAATAATGTTTTGTTTGATACAAGTTTCTTTGTTAAAATGCAATATGAATAATATAAAATTATTGTTATTATTAGGTAAATCATTTTCCTGGTGTTGGATTTATTACAAATAAAGTTGATTTAGCAACATCAGATATCAAGTACATACCTCCAGCTTTTCACATGCCACTTGAGAAAGAAAAATTTATGCTATATGTAAGTATTGACTATTATTTTTTTAGATAAAAAAAAATCTTTTAAAATGTATATTCTCTTCTTTAGGCTAAAAAGTATCCAAATAAACTGTTTGTTCAAAAGCAAAACAATCATCGGGGCATTAAAATTAAATCTTCACATGAGCTAGACTTTAATTCATCTGGCACATTTATTCAAGAATATATTGACAATCCTCTATTAATTGATGGATATAAATTTGATATTGGTGTTTACACAATTATTACATCTATTAACCCTCTTAGAGTATATATGTATAATGGAGATATTCTTTTCAGGTTTGTAGATTATAAATAAACTCAAAAGTTCAAGTTAATAAGCATAAAAACCAAAACAATTAATTTGCATGAATTTTTAACATTTTCTTTTTATAATTTTTTATACTCTATTTTTGTGAATGTTTTTCTTGTCTCATATATTGCTATATGGTTATATTCTAATCTTTTAGATGAAAGATGGTATTTAAATGTTAAATGTTATCCAGAATGGAACAACTCTTTAACAGTTATAAAGGTTGGTTGTGGTTTATACTTAGTTTATTTATTTTTCTTTACATAATTATGGATTGTAAGTATTGTTTAGCATAGCTATTTTTCTTGGTTCTTATAATGTTTTAATTTAACGTTTTTCAGTATGCTAATCACTACCAAATATACTAATAATACTAACAAACACAAAGTTAACAACTATATGTGTTTACAGAAATTTATTGTATAACAAATTGTGTGGTTTTGTACTTTTTTTTAATTTAGGTTTTGCCCAGAAAAATATGAACCGTTTGATGCCAATAATATTGATAAATATGTCATTGGAGATGATTATTTACCAACATGGAAAGTGCCATCGCTAAAAAAATATTACGTTGATCAAGGTGCTTCAATGAAAGTGTCTGTTGAATCACATTTAAAAACATTAGGTAATTAAATATTACACATTTTAAAATATGTTTGAGCATCTTTACTAATTACCTTATATGTTATATTTACCTAAATTCTATTTAGGAAAAGATGCTACCAAAATATGGGATCAATTAGAGGATGCCATACGGGTTGTCTGTTTAGAAAAAGAGTCTAAGATCAAGAATTTAATGAGTAACTACGAATCAAAAACAAATTTTTTTGAGATGGCTCGCTTTGACTTTGTTGTAGACGATAATCTTAAAGTTTATATAATGGAGGTAAGTAAATAAAGAAAACAAAATTTATACAAAATTTATCCATACATTTTTTGTTTCAATTACTTAAAATAATTTTTTAATTTGCAAATAAAAATCTATGAATACAGAGTTAAAAAATTTGTATATTTCAATGTAGAAGTTACTTTACTCAAACAGGCGTCTAACCATTTAACTGCCTGGCTTGGGAATTGTTTAGTAATTAGGTTAATTTGCAGTAATTGAATTTGATTAATTCAATATTCAATTAATTCAATGTTTACATAGTTTTAGTTCTTATTTACTAATTATTTTGTATCACATTATTTACTTCTGGAGAAATAATAAAGAACTATCGTTTTTTAGGTTAATATGTCACCAAATCTGTCATCAGCTCATTATCCTCAAAATCGTTTACTATACGAGCAAGTTTTATTCAACCTTTTTGCCATTGTTGGTTTGACACATTTTGAACGGTTAGTATAAAATATGAAAAGAAATGTTTTAAATAACAATAATGATTCTGATTTAAATTTTGTTTAAACAAATTGGATAATTATGTATTAACTAAATGTTATGTGTATATGTTTAATCATCAAATAATATACCAATAAGTGTATAAGTACATATTGCGCTGATACTGCAACAGCGCGTATCTCAATTCTAAATATTTTCAAGAAAAGCAAAATAAGTTATTTAAATAAATAGGTTTTGATATAAGCTGTGTTATCATTTTTATGATTTACAGTGCAACTATAAGTCTGATAAAAAACACCATTTACAAAATATTTTCGGCGGAATGTGATTTATCATTATTGGTAATAATCTCATTTGGCCAAATTTTGAGATACGGGCTGTTTGCAGTATCAGCAACGATATATACATAAAATTGGAAGCGACTAATGTGCATTCAAGCATTCTTTATGTAGAAAGGAGGTGTACTTCTTTTTTCTCGGAGGTATGATAACCACTTCCTTGTGTACTGTGACTTCAGTGTTAATTTTAATACCAAGTTTTTTTAAATGGTTTAATTAAGTTATTAAGACAATTTAAACACAAAAACTAGCATTCGATTAGGTAGGAAAACTACAGGTCCAATTTTTTTATAGTGATGTGAAACTTGTGACTTAATTTCAAGAACAAAACAACACATTAAATACAAATGTGATTAAAATTTAAGAAGTCAATAATATTTTAAAATAATAATTGTAATATTTCTATTTTTTAAATTATTTATAAGAAGGAATATACAATCTCTACAATATACATAAAATATGTTAAGAGTAAAAATAAATGCATACAAATAATTTTGAAGAAAGAAACCAATATCCCAGTGTAATAATTCTAAAAAAATTTTTTTAAAAACCTTTTTGGTTTGCAACTCAAATTAGAGAAAATGTCGTATCAACTTTATTTAGGTATAAAATAATTTGTGTATTAACAAATTTTTACCTACAATCTAACTCTGCCCCAATTATACAAATAATTTAATTAGGACTAGTGATGAGGCTAGTTAAAGTACACATATAATAAATAGATGTTTGATTTTAGGGGAATCCTGTATATAAAAAAAATATATATAACATATTGAATATACAACTTTTGGATGAGATCAAATTTTTTAGAATTTTTGTTCTTTTGAAAAAAAATTATATTGACTTTTTTCATTCTGCTATATATTTTTCGCCAACTATGTAAAACAACTGTACATGATAATGTGCATGATACAAATCTTAAACTGTAACATTTTTTTTTGTTTTTAAAAAAGAATTATGGTATGCTTAAAAGTACATATTTTTTATGCTGTTTGCATAGACCTTTTTTAGGTTTATTTTATATCTAAATTATTTTCTTATGTGACTCTTACTAGTTTTACACCATATACCTAGAATTACATTTTACTCCAAATTTATTTAGTATACTGATTGCTGATTAAACTAATATTTCCTCTTTATCCGTTAGTAACTTTACTTATGGATATACTATGTTATATCCGTAGATATTAAAGATTTAAATACAATTTTGATGAATTTGTTTGGTTATATTTTAAAATATATTTTTATTTACAATCTTAGTGTTACTTTAACAACTCTTGGTGTGTAGACATGAATGTTCATGTACACATTATCTTCTTTAATATTAAAACTATATTTTTTGTATGAATTGTGTTTATAATTTAGATTTTCTTTTTCTTTATCTTTATCTCCCATATGTTATTTGTTAATAACATATACTTCATTATTAATAACATGAATCTAAAAATTGGATGTTTTGTTGAATGATTATTATATTTTATGTGTTACAATGAATTGTAAGAACACAAATATAGTTAATAAATAATTTGTTCGTAGTAAACAAGATAGTATCAAAATGGCTGTATCTATGAAAAACATTGTGGCGTATCCAAAGTCTTGTGATGAAATGAATTGCCAAATAACATGTCAGTCTGAAAACTGTAAATTATGTTATCCATGCATGGATAATGAAACAAAAATACATTTGACAAACGCATATCGTGAACATATTGATCGTCACGACTGTAAACGTGTATTCCCACCAACATTTGTAAGTATATACAATATTTCAGCTTTAAACTAATCAAATTTATGTTGTAAACAGAATGTATTAACAACATAACAATTTATTGCAAAATTCGTTAGTAAATTTATAAATAAGCAGTTTAATTAGTGATCAATTATTTTTTCAGAATACAAAATTAATTGAGAATAGTGAAGATTTAAATGGATTAAGCCCAAAAACTCGATTGATGTACAAATGGTTTAAGGGAAAATGTATGTCAGATCCAGAGTGGTGCTAATTGAATCATTTTTATTAAAATTATATATTAAGAGGCCAGTAAAACCGTTTAATCATAATTTATGCCATATTCTTTTTTTATATTAAATTATTAATATTGTTACATATTTTTTTTTATAAGAGTTTATTTTTATGTTAATAATTGGTTGTGAAAATAGTGCAGTTAGAGCATTCGACTAGTAAATGAGTCAAACGTTCTTAGTGGCAAAAAATAAAAAATTAGTTTTATTCGTGATCTGTGTTCAAGAACCAAATTTATTTTTTTTCTACTTGAAATATTTGTTTGTAAATAGCGTCCGTTTTATGTGCCTTGCGCATTCTTTATGTAATATTTTATGATCACAAATAGTTCGTTATCACTTATCATTATCCTAAATATTATAAATTGTTGTCAAAACTGTTGTGCTTTGAAATTATATAAAATATTCACTAATTTTTTGGAAACTGAAAATTATTTACGAAACGAAAAGAAAAGAAAAATATTAACAATTAAAGTTATTACAAATAGTTCTTATTTTACTAACTGTTAAATTAGTACTAATTAAACAATTAATTAACTTTATAAATTTTATCGTTTATTTTGTATTATTTTCAGTTGTTAAATGAAATAAATATAAAGTTTATTAACATATTATTTACATTTAAAAACTTAGTTTATTTTTGTATTATAATAAATAATATTTTTCTGTTATTTACAGTTAAATATCGTTACTTGGGAACAATAATTACACTATTTGGTACTCAGAACATAAATGTTATAAGAATTTTTTTATTTAAGAAATAGAAAAATTCTATTTAGAAATGAAAAATGTCTTTAGGAGACTTAACTAGGTTATGAAATATAAATCTTTTGTAGAAATATAACATGTGGTAATACAAAATTATTATTAAGTATTAATGTTGTTATATTTTTTGTTTTCTGAAAAAAAAATATTCGAATTTACATATATGTCTATTAGAATATTTAAATGAATCGATTTTTTTATTTTGTTTGGATAACATTTCTTTTAGAAATTTCCCAATGAAAGCTATTATGAATAAATGTATTAAAATTAATTTTAACTATGTTACTTGAATTATATTTTACTTAAAACCATATTTTGAAGGTTAGTGATGACGTTATCTGAAATTGAATTTGCTGTTTGTACAAAGAATTTTTTCTTCAATTTATAATTTAATAAAATGTTCTTGTTGAAATTGCCATTTTTATTATAAGTGTTCACCATTTTATTCATAATCCATACTTAAATTACTTTGTTTAAGCCACGTCTTGTTTATATATTATAATATATACATATATTTATCAACAGTGTAAACACAAAATAGATTTAATCTATTCTGTGTGCGTTTTAATCGGTTCATTTGACCATAAGATAATGTGATCACCGCAAAAGGAGTCTATTTTAATGACTTCTGTGCAAGAAGTTTTCCAATACTCTAATGTGGCAGAAAATAATTCATTACATTTTGTAAATTCAATGGTAGGTACATCTTCGATACAGTATTAAATAATTTATGATATCCAAAATTCAAATTGATTCAGTTTGAAATTAAATCTTTTCAGAGTAAGATCCAAATTAATGTAATATTAATGGTATTAATGGTAGTCCTAAGACTATAGTGTTAAATTACTATTACTAAATTAGAAATATGTAAGACTAGTGTCTTGCAAAATGTGATGGTGGTAATAACTAATAAGTAATTCCCGACAGCCTAACGCTAAATAAATTATTACAGTAACCTGAGATTAGGTATTAATATTAAGATAAGTATTAAGATACTTGTGTAGTATAGATAATATAATAATTATTTGATATACATATTACTAAGTGGATTCAAACGATTTAGTGCATTTTCAGCATCTGAATATTATTCAAAACGCACATTTAGCGTACTAAGTTAAAAATAGGGTGCAAAATATAATAGTGTCTTTAGAAATATGTAACCATGGAAATAAAACTCAGAACTATTAAAAAGAAATTAAACCAAATTGAGAAAACTATGAACGCGTGTAAGCTCGGATACCATATCGCCAAGCACAATGGGGTCAGTACAATTTAATTTTCAGTATTTTTTTTTGTATTTAACTAAGTATGACAGATTGTTGGCGGTTACCACGAATCTCGTGTAAAGTTGGTTTGCGTTTTAGAAGTTTTGTACGTACAGACAGAATAGATATTTTTTTCGACGTTTTATTGACAACATAAAACAGGAAATGGCCAGCAACAGGGAAATGCAAAAACATATTGATCAATTTCGGGCCAAAAGAAATCAACTGGAACAGACGAACGTTTTGGTCAAATCCAGGTAACTGGTAGTGGATTGTATGTAATGCAAGTATCAAACAACAGTGATGATTTTTTTTTATACATACATGTGTAGAACTAAGCTCAACACAGTTTATAACGAATCAAGAGTATTTTTAAAATTATTCCAAACTCTCAACTCTGGCGTACAACTTTTTTCAAAAAATACTGGTAAGTAACATCATTAATAGAGGCGTATCTTTTTGGTGATCCTACACAATCGGGATTTGAGAAAGGAAGACCGAAGAGTGTGTAGTAGCTTGTCATGCACTACACTACCACCACGTCATAATAACGCCTAATAAAATATTAGGTATGTATACAGGTAATTAGACTTTTTTTACAGAATATGTTACCACGGCACTTAAACAGACATCTTTTGGTCGCGGATTGTCCGTAGTGGCCAAAAACATAGCTAAAAAAGACGACGGTGAAGTTTCTTGGACCACACAAGTAATTTTTATCCGAACCAAAGATGTTTTACGCGTTTTGACTTAAATTTAGTTTTTAGGTTTATAAAGCTCCGCCGGTATTGAAAAAGCGATCGGACTTGATAGACAAAGCGTATACAAACACGATGGCTGTCGAACTAGTCGTTTACAAGGAATCCACGTGAGTATACAATCTTAGGTTATCACAGAACATCAATCTGTAAATTAACATAGGCTCACACATAAGTTTAATTTGGGGAGCGCTAGTAGTAAATTTACCAAATGTTCATAGAAAAATATTATCTATGCTTAAGCGTGACATTTTTCCGATGGATCACTGAATTACTGACAAAAATATAACAATCAATAATGAATCCTTGTTACTGTATTAATAAGTAAACATGCTAAAGTTCAAACTCTTAATGAAGATTTTGCGAAAAATTACCTATACTTTGCTGCTTAATAAATGGGTGGGTAGAATCCTCTAAAAATTATTTTTCTTAAAATTTATGGTTAAGCAGTTAAAGTATAAAGAAACGTTCATTTTATGGGTAAACGTTTTGTACATACATTCAAAAGTGCAAAGCAAAAGGTTAATAGGTTTTCCTGTAACTCGAGGCTTTCGATTTTTTTGTCTATGTATAATTTGACTAAACTAGGTACATAGACATTTGTTTAAACAATTTAAACTTATTAATCGTATGGTCAATTATTATTAAAGAAGAATTTAAAACATGTTCGTTTTTTTAATTAAAGTAATAGTATTTTTAATTCAACTGAGTCACCATCAAAATATTTGTATTTGGTATGTTGTTGAAAAAAAATACTGTATTTTGTTTATCTCGAGGGTGTTATAAATAAATATATAAATATCGTTGTTGTTCTTAGGCTTAACGCACTTTTGCACATATTTTCATTTGATTATGTTCTAATTCCCACAAAGATGGCGGAAAATGGTAACAACAATTATCTCTATTGACGGAATGTACACTTGACAATCTAGTTTATTATAATATATATCTGTGCAATTATCACGCTTTTCCTGGGTCAGTGTGACCAGGAACATCGAAGAACTGGAATTGTCTGTAGTCTTTCTGTTTAGTCTGGCACGCTACCACAAAATCAATAATATGTCGGACGGCCTTTTTCGACGGCTCATAAGAATCCATGTAATTTTGTAAGGTTTCCCTTCTGGTTATGCTGTGATATAACAGTCTACAGGATTTCCCGCAAGCATTTGACTTTTTTGAATAAGAGTTAGAAGTAAAAAGAACAAATTCTCATTGGGAACCTTGTTTAAATTGAGATTACATAGTATGTAAAGCCCTATCGGGCGACGAGGCTTGTCCGACAATAGGTTATTTCTCTATTGATTATTATTTTAGCTTAGTTCGGTTATTATCAATTGAATCGGACCGAGCATAGTCGTATTAAGAGGGGTATTTACGTATTAGTTAAAAATTATTTTAAGCTATCTGAATTAAGAAAATATTTTACTTTAGAAATTGTTTATTGTTACGATATTTAAAATGAACATTTTTGAGTTTTTATTGATAAAAGAAAATATTCAATAATGTTAACCCAAATTATATTCTTGATATACCTACACTAGAGAAAACAGGCGTTTACAGTTGTAATTTTTTTTATATCTTTTAGATTAATGCTTTTGTTTAAATATTACTATTTAAAAATAAATATTTTATTGTATTATTAAAAATATATAATGTAAAAATAAATTATAAATACAAATTTTAAAAAAGCCAGTACAGTGGGATCGGGGCATAGTGGGGACGGAGAGGTCACAGGTCTACAGATTTTATTATAACTAAAAGTGATATCACTTTTAAATAAACGCTTCGATGCGAATCTGTGGATATACGTTCAAACCAGTTATAGCGGTTTAGAAGATATCGTGGGACCAGCAATAATGTACTAAAATTTAATACTTAGTCTTGTGCAGGGTGGATACGATAAGGGTTAATCGTCTGTCTATAAAAAGTACTGTCATAGTTACCCATGTATCGTAATTAACAATATAATGAAAATATTTTTATTACCTGTTGACTACTGATTCACACACACATATCAATCTAGAAACTGACTACGGCCAAAGTGTAAATTTACCCTATTTTTGGGGTTTTTCCTTAATAAAAAAAAAATTGACTACAGATTTTTGAGAAATTGTACATGTTATAGTTCCATTTTAGATCTACCTTCGGTCTAATTTTTAGATCTAAATCTCTAAAACTTTGCTTGAAAAAGTGAAATAAAGAAAACAATTCTATCCCTTCTAAGGAAAGGGATAGAAAAGGTTTATGATATTTTTTTGGATTTGTTAATGTTTATTGATAGTACTATGTTTGAAAAACAATTCATATAAATTTGGAACATTTTCGACTATTTTTAAAAAAGTTATAGAGCATCGTAATTTTAAGTTGAAAAATTTGTAATTTTTTTAGGTGTTTTTCTCGATTTTGATGGGAAAGAGGTGGCTTTTTTTAATTTTTGGCCTGATAAAGTACCTTCCAGGTATAATTTCTGATCTATAGAGTTGCTACACGAAGAAATCGGTTCAGCGGTTTACGAGATATCGTGGGTCCAGGCACAAAAATAAAAACACATCATTGTAAAAATAATACCTTCTCAGCTCCGCATCGAAGCTAAAAATGTAATTTAAATATAAATTATATACCTATTGGCTATTATTATATACTTGTATTTTATTTATTGGTACTGTAATGAACAAAAATAATATAAATTTGAGAAGAGAGGTGTGTGCGTGTGTATTGGGGAGGGGATCCCTCCAAAAACCCTCACATACAAAATTAGTTAATGGGCTACAGCCCCCCTCCCTACAAATTTGACCACCCTATGCCTATGGACATAAGATAATATAAAACTCAACTATCGCCTAGTAGTAGTTGACACTTTGTCAGACCGTCTGGGTGTGGTCTCGAGGAATAACAATTACATCCGACTATGACTAACTGGTCTATGTTAACAAATAATATTTTTTCCATAAAGGTTAAAGAAAACCTTACAGGCGTTGGGAACCGATAGTGGTATTGTGCGATGGTTGGCTTGGGTCGGTCGTTCCGTTGCCGAAGTGTTGTTCCCCAACAAGTATGGCGACGTGATCACTGCGTTGGGCCGGGTCGACCCCGACTTTGAGATTCCGCGTTTCATTAAGTTTTGCGAAAAAGATGTCGTGCCGAACGTGCTGGAAGCGATGGTCCGGCCGGACTTGGAAGTGCTGAAGGATTGGTGCACCCAACAAGAATATGCACGATTGGTATACTTACTTGATGAGCGTCGTCAAAAAGCTACGCACGGCACGCATTGCCAGATTTTGGACGTAAACAACGTGGATGTGGTTGGTGGCCTGTTCACCGACGAAGGTCCGGTGTTGTTCTTAAGTCTAGACACTCAGGAAATGAACTATTCGAAAGCCGCCGACGGTACGGTAATCAACGACTCCGTCGTCATGTGTCATCACGCGTGGGCGTTGCTTAGAGACTTAGACGAACCAAATCCAAAGGCCGCTTGGCGTCTTGCGGACGTCGCCTTTCATACAGTCCCAATGATGTTTTAAGTGCGGTTGACCGGAAAATATGATCATTTTTAATTGTACACACAAACACAGACGCACACTTTTGGTCTACGAGTTTTTCATTTTAAATATACACAAAATCCAAAAAAGAATTTTTTTTTAATTAAAAAAAAATATTTAATTCCAAGATAAAATTATACAGGTTTAACGTTCCTACTCACAATATTCAATGAATTTTGGGGCATTGAAAAAAGACGCGTGACGTCAAAATTGGGCCGAACTCGCCGTAATTCCCTATCTTATACACGCAAACGTAATTAGTTTCACACAATAACTTACCTACCTTCAAAGTATACTTTCGAATTTTTGTTGTACCTTTATGATATGTTTTTATGCATTTTTCTAAAGCGTTTAGTTTTTTTTAAATGTTTAAAATCTTGTAAAAGTAGTTGTTTTTGTTATATATAAATATATCGCTATTAAACATTGGAACTGGATCTAGGACTGGGACCGGAACCGAGACTGGGACCCTTAAATAAGAGGGGGTATAATGTAATGTACATATGTAGACCCAAAAAAAAACCGAGATGGGGTATGCTAAAGCTCTACAATATACAACCTGGAGTACTGAGTTTTTTTATCTTATTTGTAATTATTTTACCCAGCCCTGACTAACTAAATCCCGGGCAACGCCGGGATTTAAACAAATCAAAGAAGGAAAAATTAATGAATATTTACGAATGAATAATTTTAAATGTGCTTAAGTTATCAAAAAACTAAAAACGCTACCCCGTAGATCAAGTTCTTCTCTGTCCATTGTAAAAATTGAAAACGGCTGTTCTAAATACCGCCCTCACATTCTTGTCCCCCGCAAAACCATTTTTCGAGGCTACATTACGGGTGGGTAGCGTCCTCTTAAGTAACTAATAAAACAATAAAATATAAAAAAAAATCCCCTTTCCATAAAAAAATAATACACTTAAACGTATTTCGATAGCAATGAGATTGAATTCACAAACAAACCACCTCCCTCAACACTAGAGTTATATTTTGATTTGAATCTAAAGTACTTAAATTCGAACCTAATTATTTCTTATACCACCCTTTAACGAACATTAATTGTTTGCGGTCACATGCTAGTCTGTGCAGTCATTCACCGTTTCAAACCAATAAATAGAATAAGAAACTTCATAGGCACAAAAAGAAAACACCATTTATGCTCTTTATAAATAGGTATATAACATAAATACATAGTAGTATATGTTTGTCCACAAAAGCCATAATAGTGCGTTTTTTAAAGACTAAGTAAAAAGGCTAAAAATATTATAATATTAAATCCAAGAGGAACAGACGAATTATAAGTTATGACTGTAGAGTTAACCTAGTTAACTACGATAATCTTAAAAATAGGTATGGTTATAAAATAGATTAAAATAAATAGAAGATACATTTTCTTAAAAAAAGACAGAGTAAAAGTAATAAAAGTAAAAACGCTTTCTTAATATTAAAAACTGTTAAGTATAAATGCACATTCTTATTGGTATACGCATAGTAGTTGTACAACTAATAGTTAAGAATTTATGTTAAATAGTTTCGGGGAAAGTAATCCAAGTGCCAAAAATGCGAAATTGTATTTTTTCAAGCCAAGTGATCTAGAAACTATCGCTAATGCAGCATACTCTTATCCGAGTTCTTCTGACTTTAATTTGTGGTTCAAACGCGAGCAGGTTAACATCATTAAAAACCATAGGTCAACTAAACAGTTTTTTATTATCCTGCACATTTGTTTTTTGGCACTTAGATCACTTTGTCCGGGACGTTTCATAAATATGAAGTTTAGAACTAAGGTATGACTACAATATGATAACGATCAAGTAACTACTTTCTATGACGCTTATGCTACAGCGGCACTATTCTAAAAATCGTTGAGAATAAATGTTGTACATTTTATTATCTAGTAGAAACATTTTTCTCAGTCTTTCTCTTAACTAATAAAATAAAATGTACTTTTTTATTTTATTTGGAATTAAGCTTGCTCGGGAGAACTTGACTCGGGGCAGTGCACCGGGGTGACTCGGTTTGTGTTGTTGGTCTGTGTTGAGAAGATGACTTTGTATTTTTTTTTATCGCCGTTTCCACAAAATCCGAACCTAAAACAAAAACAATTAACATAATATTACCTGTCATATAATTTAAACAAAGCTATCGTGATTAAGCGCATCTTATGTTTCGAATTTTCGATTATTGTAATCGTCGACTTATCTCCTTATTTGTATGGAATAGTTTTTTAGATATAGACGCATATATTTTATAGAGGAGGAGTGGCCGAGTGGGTAAGGCGGCAGTGTGTTAGCGCTCACTGTCGCCGGTTCGACACTCGGTCACAGGCGCTCCGTTTGCTGGGCGAGCAATCGTCCGGTAAAAAGGAACCGCCACCCCCCTCTCCGGCGACGGATTGACGACCCGTCCCGGAAGCGAATTCGTCAAGAAACCATCTCATGATGGCAGCGTTGGGCCTTCATGGCCCGTTAAGCTACATGATGATGATGATATTTTATAGAACTATTGACAAACCTTGACAAACTATACAAAATATCATCAAAAGCCGTTTTCTCTGAAAGGTTTAAAACATTTTCTGTACCTACTTTATTTTCTTAAGAGTAGTTTTAAGACTGAAGGTCTGAAAATTAAACTGAATCTATAATATCTGAAATTTATAGAGAGGTTAGATAATTTATGATTTTTTTTTAAAAATCTGTAATCAAACTTTGGTTTTATTAAGGAAAAACAAAAAACTATTACACATTTTTCAACTTTCTTGTAAATTAAAATAATATTTAAAACACCCTTAGGCCTTAACCATAAAATAATACACTCTCCGTGTATACGTATTTTGGCAATGTTTTCATCTTTAGTGCTAACGACAAATTTAAAAAAAAGAAAATATTACACTTTGACTGTAGTAAATTCGAAGCTATATTTGAGAGAATCAACGGGTGTCCAAAATATTTTTCGATTATGTTTTTGATTTACCTATTGAAACAAACATGATTTGATAATATTACTTTTATATATTTTTTTTTTGATACAATTGTTTATTTTCCAAAGACAGACGATCAACCTGAATCATATCCACCTTAACACTGAAAATAATAATTCATGAAAACTTGTGCCCACGTCGTCCCCACTATGCCCGCTATAAATAAAAAAAATTCCTTTGAAAGCAACATTTAACAAAAAAACAAAACCGAAAGATTTATTTTCTTGATCGCATTGATGATATAGGAATATCTTATTACTCAATGTCGTATGCATTTGTATACTTTTGTCTAAGAAAAACACGTATACAAATATATGATATGAGTATACGAATAGAGATGTAACAACATATTTCTTGCTCGTTATTTTATAATAGGCGTAGTATTTTATATTTTATAAGTATTCCTATATCGGTTATATAACCCAGAGCCAAAGCCACGCATAAAACTACTTGTCAATGCGACTTTTATAACAACGTTGTGTCTGACGCAGTACTTTACACGTTTAATGGAAACAGTTATTTTCTACTTGTAGTTGACAAAGATGAAAAGAAGACAGTACCGATTAACTTTTAAGTGCTACACTAGCGATAAGATTACCCGAAATTTTGTACTTCTTAAATTTGTTTTAATGTATTTATGAGTATTGTATTTGTTTATTTATTATTATTATTTGAATTTACACCACTACTTTAAAACAGATTTTACTAAGTATTTATCATGCCACCGTGTGAAATTTGGTTAAATGAGAGCATCCTTATTCCTTATGGTTTTTTTATATTAAAATTTTTGTTCATATAAAACAACGGCGAAAATTATGGTGAGTTAAAGAAAGACATAGTTCTCATAAGGTATTTAATATTTACAGATGTGAGGATTGTCTAAGTTGGATTGAATTAACATTAGAATGAGTATAGCAATGAATATATACCATTCCCCACCTATCACATTCTTTATAAGCAGTTGGAGAGGTGGAGACTGTTTCTCGCATTTATTCCAAGAAGTAGGTGCTTATTTATTTTAAAAACAATGGCTCTTAAGTACGCTCCGCGTTCCTTTTAGAACATTTCGTCATTGTTCACACCTAAGAATGAAAATGGGTAAATAGGTTAGTGAAATTTTATTAAGGCGAGAGTAAGAGATTTTGAATTAAAGCAATTTATTCAGTCTTGAGACGTAATACCGCGAAAAAAGAATGAATTTTGTGGAATAAAGTGGGTCGTATTTCCGATTTGTCTTAAATTAAAAAATTCCTATAATATAATGTATATGTTATTATGTCACTGTTTCACACTTGCAAAGTTTGAACCAATATTTCACCTTAATACAAGACAACGACAACCCGTCGTTTCCAGGTGAAATTTTAGTACCAACGAGCTTTTTCAAAAACAACGTCGTATTTCCTTAATGTACCCTTGACACAATTAGATACCTCAACAAACAACAGGCACAACGTTTCGAATGGGATCCGATTACCCCATATAATACGTTATGCAGTGTTTATTTGGAACCAGCAGGTCTGAAGAGACTGATTTTCCCATACATATTTTATTCCGACACCTAGGACACGGTGTTAGTGAGATTCAAAAAAAGCAGACAGTGTGAAATCGATACCAAAGGGTCCGCGTGTAGGTTTAATCGTTTGATCTCTTTTATATGTGCACACCTAACACGACACCGATACGAAAAAAAAGATAGTGGTAAAATCCTACATAGTTTTTTATTTTATTACCATTTTGACAAAAATCTAAAGACACGTTGAAAAAATTGACAAGGTGAAATTTTTTAAAAATATTAATGGATGTATTAAATAAGTCATAGTATAGCGTCAAAAGGAGTCGTTTCAGTATACTGATGATTTGTCGCTTTTTTTGTGCGTGTTTTCTATGATAGTTTTGCAAGTGTGAAATCCAGAAATACGAAAATTTTAATGAAAAAAATAGTATTGCCAAATGATAAATACAGTTTTGTTCTTCTAGGAATAAGTAAAAAAGTAAAAAAGTAGGTAGAACAAAAAAATAAGTGCGGCTAGATAGTATACCTAAATAAAAATCACTAGGTGAGTGGAGTAGATTGAGAGATGTGGAGACCGAAGAGAGAGAATCAGGTTGACTGCCTCAACATCTAAGGGATAAAAAACATAGTTTTTTAGTTTTATTAAAAACACCTTTAAAATGTCCATTTTGAACAGAACGTTTTAAATGTGCCAACCTTGATGTTATATCAAATTGACAACAAAAACCGACAGATCACCAAAAGTCCAACCCTAACCGAATTTGTATTGCATTCGTGTAAAGTTTATGTTAGTTTACGGATAAGTTTATGACTAGGGAATTTTGTGTGCTTTGTTTACTCTTTTAAAGACTATCGACGGATTGATAGAGTGATAGCTTTTCCTTAATGAGTTCTACTATCTGAACTTATACAAACTTAAGATGTTTTATCTTTCTCTTGACTGGTCTTTTTTTTATAGATCATTATTTATCCGAGGACCGATGTAACACCGGATTGGAGAAATTTTTTGTTATTTCGTTAAATATTGCTTAACACCACCGTGGCAGGGTGACATAAATTATTTGTTTTGTTAGCTGTTTACGCGGTGTGTTAAAATATTTGACACAATAAAACCCAAACTTAAAATTATTAAGTTTGCAAAATGGAGAATAAGGACGTGCGACATCGACAATATAGTCAAACGTACGGATTAATATATTAATGTTATGTACTATAAATTTATAACGCGCAACTTATACAACGCAGTTATATAATAATTATTGCTCCAGCCACAATAAAATATCTCGAAAAACGCCCGTAAATTTGTAGATTATCCTTAAGTCGATTCGTGTGCACCAACAATCCCGTCCGAACTATATTTAACGTCACCCAAAATACATAGTAATATAGGGTGGTAACAATTACAGATCCGCAACACTTTAGGAGAGTTATGAGTTTCACAAACAAATGAATATACATTTTAATCAACTCTGATTTCTATACATTAAATACGCCTTAAGTCATATAGATACAAATACATTCTCCACGAGACTACTAGCTGTGTATTCAATATTTATCCCCTTAAATCATAAATATAGACAAGAAACTAGATTGCTCGCTAATAATAAATGATGCGGCTACGCCGACGGATGTTTTATTGCAGTTGAGTGTTTATTGCCTGAAATAACTTGCAGACACAATAAATGCATTTAAAAGTCATAACTTTAAAATTTAATTGCCATCGCTATTCAATTTATAATAAGACTTGCAAATCCTCTCAAAAATGGCATATACCAATTACCTTAAATGTTGGCAACGTTTAATTATTAGCAATTTAATTTATCATAATAATATACATAACAAGATAAAAATTGTTTTCATGTAGTAATTGAAATTTTTCTTGTTCCGTTAACGCTAAAATAATTACTTTTCACAAAAATGCCAATTAGCCATGTACGCAGACGATACTGTTATCATAACACAACATAAAAATCTTGAAAACTCAATATCATATCTACAAATTTCTTTAGACCTAATTTCAGACTGGTTTACAAAATGGAAACTCGCTCTTAACCCAACTAAGAGCGAAGCGAAAATATTTACCTTAAAGAGATATACAAATCCACCTCAATTAAAAATCAAAAATCAGCCTATATTATGGAATAATAAAGATCAATCAATTAAATATCTTGGAGTTTACCTTGATGAAAAATTAACATGGAAAATGCACATAAATAAAAAATTAAACCAAGCCTACACACGATTGAAAATCTTATACCCACTAATTAATTACAGCTCTACACTTCAGATCAAATGCTCACTTCTAATATACACTTTAATAATAAGACCTTTAATAACATATGCATGCCCAATATGGGCAGCCGCATCCCAAACAAAAATTACAAAATTACAAACAATACAAAACAAATTTCTCAGAATAGCTCTTAAAGCCCCATGATATATGCGAAACACACAACGACACTGGAATACCATACCTAACCACATGGATAAATGAACAATTTAAAAAATTTCATTCGAAACTAAACACAATAGAAGGAGCCCTTCACTTCAAAATTTGGGAAAAGAACCAAAAACCGCCGACTAAAGCCACGTCTCCC